ATAAGAGTCTCACACTCTGTTGCCTGGGCTAGAGTGCCATGGCATCAGTTTAGCTCACAGCAATATGAAACTCCTGGGCTCAAGCAATCCTACTGTCTCAGCCTCCAGAGTAGCTAGGACTATAGGCATGCCTGGCTAAGTTTTTATATATATTTTTAGTTGTCAGCTAATTTCTTTCCATATTTTTTCTTTTTTCAAGTAGAGACAGAGTCTCGCTCTTGCTCAGGTTGGTCTCGAACTCCTGAGCTCAAAGGATCTGCCCACCTTGGCATCCCAAAGTGCTAGGAGTACAGGCATGAGCCAACGCACCAGGCCTACAATTTGGTTTTATACACTTCAGGGAGACGGGTTACAGGGAAAGTCATAAATTAATACGTGGAAGGCATACATTGGTTTGACCCGAAAAGGTGAGCCACCACAAAGAGGGGAGGTGCTTACACATTATAGATGGTTTTAAATATTCTTTGACTTGTAATTGGTTAAAGACATGACACTTTGTCTAAAGGCTTGAAATGTTTTAAGGTAAGGAGCTGTTTATTAGAGATACACCATATATTTGTTGTGTAAATTGAGGACCTGTAGATTTGTCTTGCATATCCCTAGGCCTGTTAATGGGTTACAAAGGATGTCCTCAAGAAGGGAGTAGGACATGGGGGTCCATTCAGTCAGCCAGTGGGGTGAGGGGGTTGAGCCTTAAGATTTTATTTCAGTTCATGGTACACTAGCAGTGCATGGAAGTTCCAGTTGTTCTACATCCTCATCAACATTTGATATTATTGGTCCTTTTAATTTTTGTGAAAGATGAGCAGTTTTATTAGTAATATATGTTTGTTTTTATATGGTACCCATCACCAATATAGCTTTAGTTATTAAAATAAATTTTTTCTTTTGAGACAGAGTCTCGCTTTGTTGCCCAGGCTAGAGTGAGTGCCGTGGCTTCAGCCTAGCTCACAGCAACCTCAAACTCCTGGGCTCAAGTGATCCTTCTGTCTCAGCCTCCCGAGTAGCTGGGACTACAGGCATGTGCCACCATGCCCGACTAATTTTTTCTATATTTATTAGTTGGCCAATTAATTTCTATTTATAGTAGAGACGGGGTCTCGCTCTTGCTCAGGCTGGTTTCGAACTCCTGACCTTGAGCAATCCACTGGCCTCGGCCTCCCAGAGTGCTAGGATTACAGGCATGAGCCACTGCGCCCAGCCAAAATAAATTTTTAATTTTACCATTTTTAAAAATTTTAAAGTATGCTTAAGGTAAATAATACTGGGGTTTAATTTGCATTTCCCTAAGGGGCAATGATATCAAGCACCTCTTCTTGACTATCCTCTTATGGAATGCCTGTTAATGTCTTTTGCCCTCATATCCCTGCCCTTTGAAAAAAAATATTCTGCATATAAGTCCTTTGCTGGGTACATGTATCTCAGATATTTTCTCCTAGTCTCTGGTTTCCATTTTACTCTCTTAATGAAATAAATGAATGAATCACTCTCTTCAATGAACCCAAACAAGTTATCTGTGCTGCTGCTCCCAAAAACATGTGAATTATTGATGTTTGCAAACAGAAAAATGAAAGAATTTAACCTTCAAAATCTGTTCAAGGAGATAGGAAATGAAAGGGGAATGCTAATGATTTCACAAATATAAATAATCCCAGTACTGAACCTAAGTAAAAAGAGGGCATAAGGAAAAAAGCATTATATTATATCCCATTTGCATTGAAGCTATGCTAAAAGTAATTCACTGTTTTTAGATTGGAAAGGAAGCAGTTTTAGAACATTTTCTTGCTGAAATACAAATGTTATTTGTATGTTATTTTACTCTAAAACTGTGGAATTGTAAACTAAAATAGGTGTTTTTAAGAGACAAAAATAACCTGAGCCTTTATTGCCTACTAAAAGATGCCTATTGTATTAATCTCATTTTTATACAAATGTCTATTTCTATATACTTCTAAGTCACCATGAATGTTTGTTCTAATGCACCAGTGGAGGATTTCGTCTCTAAAACACTACCACCTAACTGATCACCTGTATTTATAGACTTGACACTGAAACCATGAGGTCCAATAATTTGACATCTAAGAACTTATTTGGGCCAGGCGCGGTGGCTCACACCTGTAATCCTAGCACTCTAGGAGGCCGAGGCTGGCGGATCGCTCAAGGTAAGGAGTTTGAAACCAGCCTGAGCAAGAGCGAGACCCCGTCTCTACTAAAAATAGAAAGAAATTAATTCGCCAACTAAAAATATATATAGAAAAAATTAGCTGGGCATGGTGGCACATGCTTTGTAGTCCCAGCTACTCAGGAAGCTGAGGCACTAGGATCGCTTGAGCCTAGGAGTTTGAGGTTGTTGTGAGCTACGCTGATGCCATGGCACTCTAGCCTGGGCAATAGAGTGAGACTCTGTTTCAAAAAAAAAACAACCAAACGAAAAACCAAGCATAGTGGCGAATGCCTGTAGTCCCAGCTACTCGCTGGTCTGAGCCAGTAGGATTGTTTGAGCCCAAGAGCTTGAGGTTGCTTTGAGCTAGGCTGACACCATGGCACTCTAACCCAGGTAACGGAGTGAGACTCTGTCTCAAAAAAAAACAAACAACAACAACAAAAAAATTTGAAAAAAAATTTATTTGAAGTATAGTTAGTGATACCTAAAAGATTTAAATAGAGAGATAATAATTTTTTTAAAAAAATGTAACACTGACGTAGTATTTATTATGTGCCAGGCACTGTTCTTAAATCTGTTACATGTATTTAAACTTTTCATTCTCAGGGACAACCCAGTGAAGTGGTACCATTATTATCCCATGGAAAAATTAAGTCATTTGCTTGAGGTCAAGTAACTAGTAAGTTGCAGAGCCAGCATACTCATTAAAGCATTCCTTATAAGGCAAATGGTGGAAACAGCCAAAGTGCCAATAATACAAGTTAACAAAATTGTGTGGAAAACTGTACAATCAAAAAATTATGTTAATTGGTTATTTAAGGAAATGAGAAAATTCTCATGTTAGTGAAAAACAGACATAAAGCTATATAATATGATCCCAGTTTTGTGAAATACATATGCATAAGCAAAGAAGAAGGATGTCTTGCTAGTAGTTACATCTTTGGCTGGTAGTATCACAATGATGTTTTCATATTCTATTTTTTCCTAATTTTCTATGATAAGCATAAATTAATTTTATAATTATTTTAAACTATTAAAATATTCTACTTACCAGTAGACCACATTCCAGACAATTTATCCATCTCCCCCCACATTTAAGTTTTGGAGAAATGGTGTATTCCCTAGCTTTGGATGAAACATATTAACAGTGCTATTGCCAGATGCTGTTGGTTGTTTCTTAATTGTTTTTTTTTTTTTTTTTTTGAGACAGAGTCTCGCTTTGTTGCCCAGGCTTGGTGAAGATGCCGCTGGCGTCAGCACTAGCTCACAGACTCTAACTCTGGCTTTGCCGCGGCTCTCCTGCTAAGCCTCCCTGGTGCTGGGATTACTTTTTTCTAAGGCATGTGCCACCTATGCCCGGCTAATTATTTTTTATTATACCTCAGTTGGCAATGTACCATTTTTTCTTTCTACTTTTATAGTATAGAGACGGGGTCTTCGCGAATCGTTGCTCAGAGCTGGTTTTGAATTCTGACCGGTTGAGCAAAATCGCCCGCCCTCGCCTCCAATCGAAGGGTTATATAGTGGATAATAACAGAGCGTGTAGCGCGGACAGCGAGCCGGCCTTGTGATGTTTTTCCTTTCTTACAGCCTGACTTAAGTCACAGTATTAGTCTACTTTTCTTATTCGTAAAATCGTGAAGATGCGAAGGTTTGGATCACAGGGAAACACCTTACCCGACACTTCATCTTTCATCACAAATGGAATCAAGCTAACGTACAAATATTCTATATAAAGACGTATTCTCAGATTCTATTGAGCAGTTATGAAATACTTAGAAAATGAACTTTATTATTCAGATGGATTTATTTATGGTACTTCCCTCATATTTATGTATAGAATCAATACTTTTTTTAAATTAATTGTAGTATAAACCTGATAGTAAAAATTTCTTGTTGCCCAAGATATTTTCCGCGACGCATATACTTTCGTTCCTATGATCTTCTTTTAGAGGAGTATGTGGTCTGCTCCATCCATACCATGGTTTTCTCTCATACTCGTTCTCCATTCTACCCCTACTCAGTTACTTCACGTGATCAAGTCAGCAGTAGGAAATTCTTATAATAATGTTTTGGCGCTATTGCTATTTTGTTGCTCTAATCTAAGATTTGACTCACTGGATAAGATTCTATGAAGATGTATAGGCATTTTTAATTTCTTTCATTAGAAGAATAGACATTGTATAGGTCTCAACAATTCTATAGTAGATTTGTGCTATTTTATTTCGGACCCAACCACTACTAAAGGAGATAATTATTTCTGAGATGGGAAAAATAAAGTGCTAATACTGTCACTATTGCGCATATTTGCGAACGTAAAACATACTCTGCTATATAACTGTTAGGCTTGTTTATTATTGATCCATCCCTCAGCCATGGATGTATAGATATCTTTGTATATGATAATACTGGAGAAATGAAAAAATAATTGTTTTTTTCTTGGGCCGCTTTGGAGTGGTTATAAGATAATCCTTATCAGCCATAAATCCAACGTAAATGCAAAAATACAGACAGGAATGAAGTAGCATATGGCTACGAGTTCCAAGTCTTGAGTTTTCTAAGGCATGGCTGGCGTTTCTTCTAGCCACCAACTTCAAAGCAGGCTCTATTGTTATCCAGGAAAGGAGACTTAGTTTTATCAGCTTTACTAATATTTCTTTTTCTGTTGTTTCTTTGAAAGCACCATCTGATGAAAATGTATGACACTGAATGTGGGGTTTTTTTCTTTGTTCTTTGAGGGATAATATATATACAATAAAGTGTGCTAATTCAAGTAGACAGCTTGATAAATTTTTTATATACTTACTCTCTTGACTCAGAGTTGTTATCTTTTTAGCTCTCAGGCCTGACAACCAATGTTGTGGACATTGTTTTGGCTCATCACTTTGGTCAGGTAAGTGCCTGTTCAGCTAGGCAAGCTGTGTTTATTGGCTTGCATGCGAATCCTTATTTTACCTCAGGAAAGTAGGGTGCCTTAGAATTTACCTGATCCTAGCAGAAAATACTTCCTGTGCAGGCTGAGATGCATGTAGTCCTGGAAAGGCCACTCTTATGGGAGAAGCATTAACTCTGTGCCACATGGCTCTTGACATTTGGAGAGAGGAGAGAGTACCGTGCTTCCTCACCTGGTTTCCTGTAAGTAGCATTGGCCATCTTATGTTGACAACATCACCGTGCCTTCTCCAAATCTTAGATCCATGAGGATGGGTCTGGGAAAGGTATCACAAATAGAATTTCAGGCCGGAGCGTGTGCGCTCACGCCTGTATCCTAGCTCTTGGGAGGGCGAAGAGCGGGCGGATTGCTCAGGTCAGGGATTCAAAACAGGCCTGAGCAAGAGCGGACCCCGTCTCTACTATTAAAATGAAAGAACATTAATTGGCAAACCTGGATGATATATATAAAATTAAGCCGGGCATGCGGTGGGCGATGCCTGTAGTCCAGCTAACTCGGGGGCTGAGGCCAGAAGGTCACTTCAAGCCCAGGAGTTTGATCTGTGCTAGGTGACGCAATGGCACCTACTCTCAGCTGGGCAACAAAGTGAGACTTCTGTCTCAAAAAAACAAAAAAAAAAAAAAAAAGAAGAAATTAGAAATTCTGCCAGGTGTGTGGCTCACGCTTGTAATGCTAGCACTCTGGGAGGCCAACGTGGGCAGATAGTTTGAGACCAGCCTGAGTAAGAGCGAGACCCCATCTCTACCAAAAATAGAAAAAATTGCTGGTATAGTGGCCATGCCTATTAGTCCAGCTCTCGGGAGACTGAGGCAGAAGGATCATTGAGCCAGGGTTAATTTGCTGTGAGCTAGGCTGACGCCACAGTACTATAGCTGGAGCAACAGAGTGAGACTCTGTCTCAAAAAAAAGAAAAAGAAAGAAATTTCAGGGGAAAAAAGAAACCAGGAAATGTTAGTCCTAAAAGAACCTTAGAAGCCGGGCGTGGTGGCTCACGCCTATAATCCTAGCACTTTGGGGAGGCGAGGCGGGCGATTGCTTCAAGGTCAGGAGTTCGAACCAGGCCTGAGGCGAGACCCTGTCTCTACACAAAATAGAAATAAATTAATTGACCACTAAAAATATATATACAAAATTAGGCGGGCTGGTGGTGCATGCCTGTAGTCAGCTACTCGGGGAGGCTGAGGAGGAGGATGGTTGAGCCAGGAGTTGAGGTTGCTGTGGCGAGGCTGATGCACGCACTCACTCTAGCCTGGGCAACAAAGTGAAAGACTCTGTCTCAAAAAAAAAAAAAAAAGAACCTTAGAGATTATCTTGTTCAGTCTGCATGGATTTTTTTTTTTACTGATGAGGAAACTGAATTCTACAGAGAAAGTTACAGTTTTCATATAAATAATTATTGAGTGGTGGAGGAGACTCAACTGCGTTGGGGAACCCAGGTCCTCTTTCCAAAAGGAAATGTAGGGTGGGTGACCTCTAAAGGAGTGATCAAATAAGTGAGTAATGGGATCAGAGCTGTGAGGCGTTTTGAGTAGGGAGAGGAGCACAGCATGAATAGGGTTCATAGGTGCTCAGTTGCAGTCTGCATGGTTAATTTTCTATATCATCTGAAGGAACATGGTAGGTGGAGAGAAAACTAGCATTTACTGAGTACTCATTATTTATGATAAGTACTTTATTTATTTATTTATTTAAGACAGAGTCTCACTTTGTTGCCCAGGCTTGAGTGAGTGCTGTGGCATCAGCCTAGCTCACAGCAACCTCAAACTCCTGGGCTCAAGCAATCCTTTGCCTCAGCCTCCCAAGTAGCTGGGACTACAGGCATGTGCCAACATGTCTGGCTAATTTTTATATAAATATTTTTAGTTGGTCAATTAATTTCTTTCTATTTTTAGTAGAGATGGTGTCTCACTCTTGCTCAGGCTGGTTTTGAACTCCTGACCTCAAGTGATCCACCCGCCTGGGCCTCCCAGAGTGCTAGGATTATTAGGCATGAGCCACCACGCCCAGTCTGATTAAGTACTTTAGATGCACAAACTCAGTTATTTTTTCACATGGTTCTATCACAGCTCGATTTTCAGACAGGGAACCTGAGGGTGAGAGAGGCAATGTAACTTGCCACTGCTATCCACATAGTAAGTGGTGGGGCTAACATTTGAATCCAGGTCAGGCCAACTCCAAAGCCCATAGTCTTTTTTTTATTTGGTTATTTTTTTTTTTTTAATGCAACAGACTGGCTTAATAAGGTTATGTTTTTATAAGAGTTACAAATTCATATATGTTTTAGAGTAGTTCTGTAGGGCTTATTATAAAGAATCTGCCACCCACCCCATTTTCTGCTTCTTAGAGACAACCACTCTAATTCTTCTGATTCTTTTGGGTTTTGCCTCCATGGTGCTCTCTCCCAAACTCAGGTGTAACTTACATACACTGTAGTGCACAAATGGTAAGTGTATATCAACTGCCATTTACCTATGTATACTCCCATGTAACCATTGCCCAAATCATGATATAGAGCATTTCCCTCACTCCACAAAGGTTTCTTCTTGTCCTTTCCTATTCACCAATCCTGCACCCCAAACCAGGTATTCACTATTATGTTACCTCTATAGTTTACTTTTCCCTATTTTTGAACTTCACCTAAATGGAATCATACAGCGTACACTTGTCTAGGTCTGGCTTCTTTTGCTCAACATACTATCTTTGGGATTCATCCATGTTATTCCATGTGTCAGGAGTTCCTTCTTTCTTGTTACTGTGTAGCAGCTGTCCATGTATTAATATACCACAAATTATTTTCCTGTGAATGAACATATGAATTGTTTTCAGGGTTCTTCTTTTTTACTCTTATGAATAAAGCTGCAGTGTACTTTCTTATACCTGTCTTTTTGGATATATGGACTAAATTCTTTTTGCCTCCATCTCTGTAAAGATGCATGTTTTTCTACTTGTTAATTTTTCATTTGTAGGCATTATCTGTTGGCTTTCCATTATGGCAGGTGATATCTCTCTCCCTCTCTTCCACACACACACACAAACATACACACACCCCTTGTCTCCATGACACACATTTGTATTTTCCACTACCCTTATCTTCCCAATATAACATAATTTGTGTTAGATCAAATTCTACCATTTGGCCGGGCGAGGTTGCTCACGCCTGTAATCCTAGCACTCTGGGAGGCCAAGGCAGGCAGATTGCTCGAAGTCAGGAATTCGAAACCAGCCTGAGCAAGAGTGAGACCCCTGTCTCTACTCTAAATAGAAAGAAATTAATTGGCCAACTAATATACATAGAAAAATTTAGCCGGGCATTGTGGCACATGCCTGTAGTCCCAGCAACTCGGGAGGCTAAGGCAGCAGGATTGCTTGAGCCCAGCAGTTTGAGGTTGCTGTGAGGCTGACACCACGACACTCACTCAAGCCTGAGCAACAAAGTGAGACTCTGTCTCAAAAAAAAAAAAAAAATTCTATCATTTGTAGTAGTATATATATATATATAAATAAATGTTATTCAGGGCCATGACTACTTTTCTATACAATATTTTGTGTTCTCTTGAGTTAATAGTTGTCCTATTTTTATTTTTGTTTGTATTGCTTGCTGTTCTACATATTATCAACATTTCAGACTCCCTCCCCTATTAATATAAATCAACTTGTTGAGTATATTCAAGTACATCAGGTATTCTGTCATTTTCATCTTCTTGAAGAATTCTCTCCCATGGCATTCTCCCTTGCTTTAGTCTGGACTGGTTTGTTAACTATATAAATGAGCCAACGATGGCCTCTGTGGATTGGTTCCTAGGTGGTTTATGTCTTTACTACAGACTATTAGCTCAAAAGCCCTCCAGCTCCAAAATTAAATTTTTACACATACAATTCTTTTTTAAAATAGCCCTGGCTATGCAGTGGCTCATGTCTGTAATCCTAGCACTCTGGGAGTCCCAGGCGGGTGGATCCTTTGAGCTGAAGGAGTTCCACACCAGCTTGAGCAAGAGCGAGAGAACCGTCTCTACTAAACATAGAAAGAACTTACTTGGACCGCTAAAAATATATAGAAAAAATTAGGCGGGCATGGTGGCGCATGCCTATAGTCCCAGCTATTCAGGAGCATGAGGCAGAAGGATTGCTTGAGCCCAGGAGTTTTAGGTTGCTGTGAGCTAGGCTGATGCCACAGCACTCTAGCCAAGGTAACAGAGTGAGACTCTATCTCAAAAAAATAAATAAATAAAATAGCCCAAACAAGCATATTTTAGCCATTTAGAGCCTGCCTGGTTTACATATCCAGCAACGATTCACATCTGCTGGCCACTGATAATATAGAGCCTTCTAGTTATAAGACCCCAAGCTACTATGATTTTGCAGAGTTTTTGGACCCAGAGACTCTGTAAGTCCAGCCTGGGTAACATAGTGAAGACCCCCATCTATAAAATTAGAATAATAAAATAAAATCTCACACAAATAAGGAAACCATGGTTCAGAATGGTTAGGTGGCCTAACCACAGCTAGTACTTTCCACAGCTAGTACTTTAATCCATAATGGGTTCTTTGATGCCCTCATCTGATACAGAATATGCCCACCAAACCAGTCTGGTGCAAATAAAAAAGGTTTTAGCCATTCAGCGTGCCAGTACATCAGTAGCTCCAAGGCTGTGCCCTATTTCCTATCATGGGCAGCAAAGTTTTGCTTTTGACATTGAAAATGCAAAACCACCTATAATCCCAGCTACTTGGGAGGTTGAGTGAGGCAAGAGAGTCAATTGAGCCCAGGAGTTTGAGGCTGCAGTAAGCTATGATCGTGCCACTGTACTCCAGCCTGGATGACAGAGTGAGACCATGTCTCAAAAAGAAAAAAAGATGGACTTGTTCTGCAGCTCAGAAAGTTTACCTATGTCTTCTTTCAATTCTCTAGGAAGAGTTGCGGGCTAAGCTGGACCTGATTCAGACCTACAGACTGCATATTGCCCAAGATATCAACCAAGACAACCTGCAACTCTTCCTGGATTCCTATAATGGGTACAGTTGTTTCCTATTCCTTCACTTAAATGCAGAAAGGTCTAAAAAGATAATTGGCATTTACAGGAGATGGGAAGGGGTGATAAACTATTCCCATTGGTGTATGATGGGGGATTGCTTTAGTTTTGTTTCACCACAGAAGTGATAGGGCTTTAAGACATATGAAAACAGCCTTCAGAAAGAATAAGTGAATTAAAAGCAGTTTCAGGCATGTTCAAATACGAGTTGTAGTTTTTTTGTTGTTTTTTTTTTTGAGACAGTGTCTCACTTTGTTGCCCAGGCTAGAGTGAGTCCTGTGGCATCACCCTAGCTCACAGCAACCTAAAACTCCTGGGCTCAAGCAATCCTCCTGCCTCAGCCTCCCAAGCAGCTGGGACTACAGACATGTACCACCATGCCCAGCTAATTTTTTCTATATATATTAGTTGGCCAATTAATTTCTTTCTAATTAGAGACGGGGTCTCGCTCTTGCTCAGGCTGGTTTTGAACTCCTGACCTTGAGCAATCCACCTGCCTCCGCCTCCCAGAGTGCTAGGATTACAGGCGTGAACCACCACACCCGGCCAGTTGTAGTTTTAAGAAGTTTTCAGACAGCAGGTACTTAAATTATGTACACAGAAACACACAGATAAATGGAGGGAGCATAGGAAATGCATATAGGGAAGACAAAGGAGAGAAGTCATAGGCCTTGATTTTTAATTTGTCTTTGCTGGTATCTTGTCATCAGCCAGAAGTAACAGATGGACACCAGTAAATTATCTTGTATTTGTGTATTCCAAAACTTAACTGTCACATTCCCCCAGTCACTGAGAGAGAATGCTAAATCTTATCTTGGGACCAGCTTCTCCAAGGTAAAATTGTTAGCTCCTTCTAAGTTCCTGCGAACATGGATAAAGATTGAGGAAATTAATCAGCTGTAACTTACACAAAATTGTGCAGCCAGTTATACAGTGAGGAGCAAAGCCAGACTTTGACCCTTGTCTCTCCGTCTATTTCCTCTGTATAACAGAGTCTCCCTGTTTTTAGTTGAAATCAGAAAGATTAAGTTCTGTGCTAAACTCTGTTAGTTACAAGGAAAACACCACCACCACCACCAAAAAAAGTATAAGTCATACCCTTCTTGTAGGAATTTATCCCTAGAAACTAGGTGGAAAATTAAACACTTGGGACTTGAGGACTTCAGCAGCATTACTGTTGAGTTTTGATATCGTCTCCTTTTGTGAAATAGTCTCCCACAGAGTCCCCCAGGATTGAGCCAGGAGCCTGGTTCCTGCTCTGGACCACTCAGGATGCCATGAAGTGGCTGCTCGAGGACAAGCACACAGGGCCCTTCCCTCCTCAGGCGTGAAGGAAAGATAGTTTCCACATTCCTTGATACATCTTGCTGATTCTGACCAGGAAGTCACCTGAGTTGCTGTGATTTTACCTGAAAAGAACATCACTTCTCCTTTGTTTTTCTAGACGCAGAGACCTGGGGATTAAAAGACCCACTGTGGGCCGAAATGATAACAAATTAAAAACATTAAAGTAAGTCCCTCGGTTTGATCACCGAATTGCTAAATATCTTTCATAGACTAATCCAGTGCTTAGTGGAGTTTATATGCCTGTTTGCTGAGTGACTCCTCTAATTTTGCCTTTCCCTAGGTGTTCAACTTTGCTGGTGGTAGGGGACAATTCACCTGCAGTTGAGGCTGTGGTAAGTATGTCCTGATGTTGTGAAGATGAATGAGATTCAGATGTAATAAACTGTATGTAGCACACTGCTGACACACTGGAAACAGTTGGTAAACACTAGTTTTTGTTATTTCTGATTGCATATGTCAGGCTTTGCTCTTTATTCAGTTTGGAAAATTAATTCCTCATCATTCACTAGGTTTCATCACATGGAATCAGTATTGCCTTGATTGCTTTGTGTGGTGCAATTCACTTTGTGGAAATAGTATAACTAATCAGCATTTACTTATTGTCATATTTCTGGCAGCCTCAGCCTTCAATGTGAAATAGGTTACCACCATGACTCTACCTCCTTCTCAAGGACACAGCACATTGATAAAAATGATTTATGCTTATTATAGAAAAAAATATGAAAAAAATTAAAAATAGGATGGGGGTAAGTTATTATCCTATTACCCAAAGATAAACTATTATCTTTTGCTTTAACATAAAAACCCGATTATATTAAATAAACAAGATTTTGGGGCCCGGTGTGGTGGCACACGCCTGTAATCCTAACACTCTGGGAGGCCGAGGCAGGAGGATTGCTTGAGGCCAGGAGTTCAGAACCAGGTCTTGGCAACATAGTGAGACCCCCTTTGTAAAAAAAATTTTTTTTTTTTTTTTTGAGACAGAGTCTTGCTTTGTTGCCCAGGCTAGAGTGAGTGCCGTGGCGTTAGCCTAGCTCACAGCAACCTCAAACTCCTGGGCTCAAGCAATCCTTCTGCCTCAGCCTCCTGAGTAGCTGGGACTACAGGCATGCGCCACCATGCCCGGCTAATTTTATATATATATTAGTTGGCCAATTAATTTCTTTCTATTTATAGTAGAGACGGGGTCTTGCTCTTGCTCAGGCTGGTTTCGAACTCCTGACCTCGAGCAATCCGCCCGCCTCGGCCTCCCAGAGTGCTAGGATTACAGGCTTGAGCCACCGCACCCGGCCTGTAAAAAAAATTTTTAAATGAGCTGGCCATGGTGGCATACGCCTGTAGTCCCAGCACTAAGGAGGCTGAGGTAGGAGTATCACTTAAACTGAGAAGTTTGAGGTTACAGTGAGCTATAATCAGGCCACTGCACTCTAGCCTGGGTGACAGAACAAGACCTTGTCTCAAAAAATAATAATAATGTTGCTACTCAACATCCTTATAAAATCTTTGACTGAATCTTTGATGATTTCCTTGGGATGGGTTTCCAGAAGTGGAATTAATGTATCTAAAATTCTTGTATAAGTTTTTAATACATTTTGTCAGATTCCTTTCCAGGAAGGATATAGTGGTATATTGCCACTAGCACTATATGAAATTGTCTATTTTACTGTACTGTGTCCACTGGAATTTTTTTTTTTTTTTTTTTGAGTTGGAGGCTCACTTTATCACCCAGGCTGGAGTGCAGTGGCATCATCATAGCTCACTGCAACCTGAAACTCCTGGGCTGAAGTGATCCTGCCTCAGCCTCATGAGTAGCTGGGACTACAGACATGCGCCATCACGTGGCTATTTTTTTCTAATTCTTATTTTTTGTAGAGATGGGGTCTCGCTATTTTGCTCAGGCTGGTCTTTATCTCCTGGTCTTAAGCGATCCTCTGTCCTCGACTTCCTAAAGTGGTAGGATTACAAGCATGAGCCACCATGCCCAGCCTGAAGTTGGCAGTTTTTCATATGTCTGTTACGTCTTTCCCACAGCATATATAACTTAACTAAATATCTGTGTGAAATTACTTCATTTTCTTTGGCTGCCTTCACTTCTGCCCTATATGGAGTAGAATATTGAGGAGTGAAGCTGTTTGGAAATGGAGTCTAATAAATAGAGGTGAGTAGGTTTGTACGGCAGGGAGCATGTTTATAGATTGAAATAGATATAAAGATAGAATATATTCATGTCTCCCTGCATTGCCCTGTAAAACATTCTGTGTCTGATATAAAATACATGGCATGGCTTACACACAGAGGCAAATAACCCTAAATCCCAACCCTTTTAAGTAAAATTCCTCAAAGGTGATAAGGTTACAGGGGTGATCCCAATTTGTCAAGAAGAAGCTTTGTAAAGGGGTCAGTCCTTTCAGGCTAAAAAGATGGGAAATACATGCTACAAAAATATCTATTAAAAATGGTTTTTAAGCCGGGCGAGGTGGCTCACGCCTGTAATCCTAGCACTCTGGGAGGCTGAGGCGGGCGGATTGCTCGAGGTCAGGAGTTCGAAACCAGCCTGAGCAAGAGCAAGACCCCGTCTCTACTATAAATAGAAAGAAATTAATTGGCCAACTAATATATATATAAAATTAGCCGGGCATGGTGGCGCATGCCTGTAGTCCCAGCTACTCGGGAGGCTGAGGCAGAAGGATTGCTTGAGCCCAGGAGTTTGAGGTTGCTGTGAGCTAGGCTGATGCCACAGCACTCACTCTAGCCTGGTCAACAAGCGAGACTCTGTCTCAAAAAAAAAAAAAAAATGGTTTTTAATAAACATATTTACTTAAAACAGGAAAATAGGATTGTTTTTAGAAAATACCCTTAATCAGAATTCCCTTATTATACAAAGTATTTCCGTGAATCTTAGGTCCAAAGTTATTTGCCTATTTTAAATTGCATAGACTTAAAGCAACATATTAGCAATTATTTTTCAAGACTATGTAATATAGCCATATAGATAAGTTCTCTTCCTTTTTCTGATTTCCACACCCTCAGTGTTTACCTGAGAAGAACCCATCTGTGCCGTAGAATAGATACTTTCTTTACACAGTCTAACCTAGCTCCTCTGCCAGAGCATTTTATCCACAAGTTGGTAGAGATTAAGAGGAAAGGAAGAGCAAGAAGATAATTCACAAAGTTCTAGTCACTGTTGCTAGCTGTTCTTGCTCACTTATTAATTTAACATCATTTTTTCACCATCTATTTGCTCAGTGCTATGGAGAATATAAAAATAAAGTGGAATCTCTGTATTCAGGGAGCTGGGGAAGGGGTAGACATATTAAAAACCACAAATTATGGTTGGGTTACTAGATATCAAGACTTATTATAATGTTATAGAAATTACAAAGTGAATGAAGGAAACTATGATTTATTATGTTAAATCCAGACTTGGGAGCTCATTCTTCTAGAAAATATTTGTAGTATATCTACTATGTTCTAAGCACTGTGTCAGACAGGGATCCAGTTTTCAATTCCTACTTTTTAGAGTTAATGCACATTCTATAGTAACTGGTACATTTGTTTATCACTGCCTGCATTTTCCTTTGTATATAGCAAATCAAAACTCTGATTTGGTGATCCTGGCCTTTAGATTATCCCCTCATTTTAGAAGAGTTTGTATACATGCCCACCCAGTGGATTTGCTCTGCAATCCCCAGAGCAAATGTTCAGCTCTAATAGTGGTTCTTGCCTCGGTAATTTTAATAACTCCTCAACTGGCTCGCTGCCTCTGCAGCCTGTCATATAGCCACTGCTGTCCTAAAGCAACTCAAATCTGTTACCTCAGACACCGTGTGTGGCCTCCTGACTTCCACAGTTAGCTCCAGCCTGCCCCCAGCCTCGCCCCTCAGTGCACCCTAGCCTCACAGCTGCCTCTGTGGCGTTTGCTTCCCGCCTCCTGGGTCTTTGCTTATGCTTGCCCCCCAACTCTGGAAGCCTTCAAGCACCTACCTCTTCTCTCCATCCATCTGTAGAAATCCTACTCATCATTCAGCTCAGTTGTGAAATTTTTGAAGTGGTTTCATTTTGCTTTGTATTACATGTTTTCACCACACTGGATTCCAAACTCCTAGCACAGGTTTGCTTGTTTGTTTGTTTTGAGACAGAGTCTCACTCTGTTGCCCCAGCTAGAGTGCCATGGTATCTAAAACTGCTGGGCTCAAGCAATCCTATTGCCTCAGCCTCCCAAGTAGCTGGGATTACAGGCATGCACCATCATGCCAGGCTAAGTTTTTCTATATATTTTTAGTTGGCCAATTAATTTATGTCTATTTTTAGTAGAGACAAGGTCTCGCTCTTGCTCAGGCTGGTTTCGAACTCCTGACCTTGAGTGATCCTCTCGCATCAGCCTCCCAGAGTGCTAGGATTACAGGTGTGAGCCACCACGCCCATCCCCTAGCACAGGTTTTCTTGGCAAGCAGGCAAAAGGAGAGATCTGGTTGATCAAATTAGCTCTAAAACATTGCCGGACACAGAGATTATCCCTCAAAACATTTTCTTTGAGGTCCCTGCCTTCATGGATAGAAGAGTACAAGATACCAGATACGTAAATGCACGGGGTTATAGTAATAGTTCTTCGTTACAATGGCTGCTGTGAGAAAAAATCAAAAGAGTTCAACTTTAGACTTGGATAGCCAAAGACCTGGAAGCAGAAAAGAGATAGGATAGAAGGAACAGGAACCTCACTGCCCTAGGAGCCTGGGAGAGGGGTGAGAAGGGAGGTGGGGTGGGTGCCTGGGGCTCAGTCTTCATGGCCTGTTGTGCTGGGAAGCCATCAACAGAGCCCAGCAGGAGAGGGCCACCGCTTAGTTCACTTGTTAATGAAGTAAGGTAACTGCCTTCGTGTTATGTAGCTACCCAGTAGGAAGAATTGGATTGAGCATGTAATTCTTTACAGACTCTACTTATACTAGATTCAGAAAGTGAAATTAGCCAGTTTTTAGATCTACTCAGAAATATCAGATATGAAGTACATCATATGTCTCCCACTATGTATTTTGGTAATCTCTTTGGCTGGTTCAGCCATTCTCTGTCTGAGTTGTTGATCTTGCAAGATCATTCTCATGCCAAGCTGTTTCTTATTTTTCTAGCAATTTATAAAATTGCTTTCTCCTGTTTTTAAATTTTAGGTTGAATGCAATTCCCGCCTGAACCCTGTAAATACAAGTTTGCTAAAGGTAATGTGTCATCTTCCCTCACTTGAAACCATTGGCAAGGAAATTCTACAGGCTTCCCAATTACCATGTTTTCTGGAATAGTTGCCCAGAAAAAAGCAAAGCTTCTCTCTTTATGATTTTCTCATTGTTCTTTTTTTTTTTTTTTTAAACAAGTTCTTGCTTTGTTGCCCAGGCTAGAGTGCAATGGCATCATCATAGCTCACTGCAACCTCGAACTCCTGGGCTCAAGCAATCCTCCTACTTTAGCCTCCTCAGTAGCAGAGACTACACATGTGCCTCCACACTGGGCTGATTTTTCTGTCTTTTTTAGAGAGGAGTCTTGCTATGTTGCCCCGACTGGTACTGAACTCCTCAAGTGATCCTCTCGTCTCAGCCTCCCAAAATGCTAGGATCACAGGTTTGAGCCACCAAACCTGGCCTCATCCTCTTTTTTGAAAATGTTTCCTCCTGTACATATTCTCATTATAGAACACTGGAAAATAAAGAAAAACATAAAGAATAAAACAAATTTAAATTATCCCTACTCCTACCACCCAAAGGTAACCTGTGGTAAAATATCACTTTTTTTTCCCTATACATTCTTATATCATTTAAATCAGAGGGTATTTACAGCCCTGTATTTGTCTTCTTCAACTTTATGACATAACATTTTCCATGTAATTAAAAACTTCATAAGCATTATGTAATGTGAGAATTAAGATAATGGATGGAAATTCTTTACATGCTATAAATCCTGCTATATTGGTAAGGAAGCTTCCAATAACATTTCTAATGATGAGGGTTGATGAATTTTCTTTCTCTTAGGGCAACTAGAGAACCACTTTGGACTAAATTTCTAGGTAGTATCAAGTGTCTCAAAGGGGGGGTATACTCTTTGAGTATACCTCAGGCAAAAGTTTCAACCTTGCATTGTCTCAATTTGGCTTTTCGTAGAGCCTCTACTAAAATGTTTAGGTAGCTGACCTCCTTGTTTGAATTTGGACTACTGTAGATTTAAATGCTGATCTTATGTTGTATACTGCTATGTTTTCACTATGAAGACCTCTGCCTTCTTCCCTTTCTCTTTGAAATGCAATGGAAAAGGAAGTGCTATCACCAGAAGCAGCCCATAGTTCCTAGAAATATAAGATTAATGCTCTAACATGACCAAATTCAAAAAGTCCTGGATGCCAGGCAATTAATGGGCTAGTCTAAAATAGGAATTTTTTTTTTTTTTTTTGAGACAGAGTCTCGCTTTCTTGCCCAGGCTAGAGTGAGTGCCATGGCATCAGCCCAGCTCGCAGCAACCTCAAACTCCTGGGCTCAAGCGATCCTACTGCCTCAGCCTCCCAAGTAGCTAGGACTACAGGCATGTGCTACCATGCCCAGCTAATTTTTTCTATATATATATATTAGTTGGCCAATTAATTTCTTTCTATTTATAGTAGAGTCGGGGTCTCTCTCTTGCTTAGGCTGGTTTCAAACTCCTGACCTCAAGGAATCCACCCACCTCGGTTTCCCAGAGTGCTGGGATTATAGGCGTGAGCCACTATGCCCAGCCTAAAATAGGAATTAAATAAAAAAGTTTGTGGTTCCAACTTGGTTTTTCATTTAACGTTTGAATCGGTATTTGTAAGCAAAAACCAAGTTCTACAATAGCCATAAACATGGTAATTTCTGGGCAAAAATGCTCATCTACAACAGCATGGAATAAAGTGGATAACTCCTATGGCAGATTGAACTGATTCTCAAACTATCTGATGGGTATCAGTCTTTGAAATAGTTTATCCCAATATTCTCTTTCTGTATATGAGAACTATTTCATGGTTATATATTATAATCATGTTTTAACTCCTAAACTTCATGAAAATACAGCCTGTGACTGTTTGGTCTATTATATTAATATAATTGTCAGGTTCAGTGTTCTTTTCTAATCTTTTTTTTTTTTTTTGGAGACAGAGTCTCACTCTCTTGCATGGGCTACAGTGCTGTGGCATCAGCCTGGTTCACAGCAACCTCCAACTCCTGGGCTCAAGCAATCCTCCTGCCTCAGCCTCCTGGGTAGCTGGGACTACAGGCACGTGCCACCAAGCCTGGCTAACTTTTTCTTTTTTTAGTTGTTTGGCTAATTTCTTTGTATTTATAGTAGAGATGGGGTCTTGGTCTTGCTCAGGCTGGTCTCCAACTGCTGATCTTGAGTGATCCTCCCGCCTTAGCCTTCTAGAGTGCTAGGATTACAGGTGGGAGCCACCGTGCCTGACCTTCTTTCTAATCTTATGCATAGAATTTTCAAGGGATGTACTTTGTTAATCTCAAACTTGTAAGTCTTCTTTGTCATTCTTTTATTCTCAGTAAGTCCCTCCTCAAAGAAAGTGTTAATGACAGTTAATTGAAACCATGAAGTTCATGTCCGTTTTAAAAAAATGACAGGCTGGAAAGGATATGCTCTGAGCAGAGAGTATATAGCAACTGGGAAGAAGAGGGTGAGCTTGTATTTGGCCATCATGTCCTAGAAACACTGTTTTCTGCAAAATTTATCACCTGGGACCTTGTTAGAAATGCCAGTTCTTTTTTTTTTTTTAATATTTTAAAACTTATTCCTTTTTTAAATTTTATTTTTATTCTCATCTATATTTTTCGAATCTCACCACTATTCTAATAAGGGAGAAATGCAAGTTCTTGAACCCTACCCCAGACCTATTGAATCAGAATCTCTAGGACAAGAATCCAAGAATCTGAGTTTTAACAATTTCTCTGGGTAATTCCAATGCACACTAATTGAAGCTCTAGCCTAGCGATCCTTGCACAGGTGAGAATAATCAGTTATAAAGGTTTATGAGGCTGGGCCGGATGCGGGCTGACAGCAGTAATCTTAGCACTCTCAGAGGCTGAGGCAGTGGGATCGATTGAGGCCAGATGTTTGAGACCAGCCCCAGCCAACAGCAAGATCCTGTCTCTACAGAAAATAGGAAACTTAGCCAGGCGTCGTGGCACATGCCTGTATTCCCAGCTACTCAGGAGGCTGAGGCAGGAGGATCCCTTGAGCCCAGGAGTTTGAGGTTGCAGTGACTTATGATGACACAGCTGTACTCCAGCCAGGGTGACAGAGCAAGATTCTGTCTCAAAAAAAAAAAAGTTTATGAAGTGAAAAGTAGCCTCACAAATTCAGCTGTAAGAAGAAAGTGGCTGACTAAGCAAGGTGGCTGAATCAGCATCAGCTCCTCATTGAAGAACTCCCCTTCCTCATGGAGTGAAGATAATGTAGAGTTGAGGGGAACTTAAAAGACACGATGCCCCAGTTGTCAGGGTCAGACTGTTTGAGGACTCTGAAAGTAACATTCTTCAGGCAAAGTCAGAAGCATGGTTGAAGGCAGTGGTTAACTTCACCAACACCTCAACAGAAAATTTCCACCATGGGCCTGAAAGTCAGGCCTTGCAGTTTATTGATAAATAAACCTTAAATAACGCTTTTGGATTTGCATCCAAGGTCATTGCTAGGGTCCAGGTTTATGTATAGGAGAGCAGTGAGGACATGCAAACTGGGATGCACTTAAACATTAAGGAATCTGAAACTCGATTGTGTCCTATGGGACAGGGCTTGACATAGTCATAGCATGTTGCTTACGTGTAAGTCCCAACTGACTGACATGTTTTTCCTCTTCTAGATGGCAGACTGTGGGGGACTGCCTCAAGTAGTTCAGGTAAGGAGATGTTTTTTGAAGCGCCTGTTGGATCCTGTATCTCTGCCTATGCAAAAATTAATGCCTGCTTATTTTGTCCCCACAGCCTGGGAAGCTCACCGAGGCCTTCAAATACTTTTTACAGGGAATGGGCTACAGTGAGTAGCACACAACGTTTCTAACAAAGATTTATAAATAATAGGCCAGGTGCGGTGGCTCACACCTGTAATCCTAGCACTCCAGGAGGCCCCAAGGTGGGCAGATCCGTCAAGGTCAGGTGTTCAAAAACAGCCTGAGCAAGAGGGAGACCCTGACTCTGCTAAAAATAGGAAGAAATTAATTGGCCAACTAAAACTACATAGAGACCGGGTGCGGTGGCTCACGCCTGTAATTCTAGCACTCTGGGAGGCCGAGGTGGGCGCATTGTTCGAGGTCAGGAGTTCTAAACCAGCCTGAGCAAGAGTGAGACCCCGACTCTACTATAAATAGAAAGAAATTAATTGGCCAACTAATATATATATAGAAAAAATTAGGCCGGGCGCGGTGGCTCACGCCTGTAATCCTAGCTCTTGGGAGGCCGAGGCGGGTGGATTGCTCAAGGTCAGGAGTTCAAAAACCAGCCTGAGCAAGAGCGAGACCCCGTCTCTACTATAAATAGAAAGAAATTAATTGGCCAACTGATATATATATATAAAAAAAAAAAAATTAGCCGGGCATGGTGGCACATGCCTGTAGTCCCAGCTACTTGGGAGGCTGAGGCAGAAGGATTGCTCGAGCCCAGGAGTTTGAGGTTGCTGTGAGCTAGGCTGACACCATGGCACTCAATCTAGTCTGGGCAACAAAGTGAGGCTCTGTCTCAAAAAAAAAAAAAAAAAAATAGATTGATGAATAATGGCAGTCAGTTTGACATCTGGGAGGCCACAATTCTTAGGACATAACCTATGCTAGAGAAAGTAGAAACCAGGATGTTTATGGAGCATTCATTTGCGCATAGATGTAATGTGCTAACACTTATTAAGCACTTACCTTGTGTCAGGTACTATATATTCTTAACCTAAGAGGTAAGTTCTCCTATTAGTCCCATTTTATAGAAGAGGAAACTGAGGATCAGAGAGGCTAATTACATTTCCCAAGGTAACAGTTTAGCTACAGAGCATGATTCAAACCAAGGCAGTCTGACTCTATTGTAACCACTGAAGCTTAGGCTATCCTAGCAGCAATTTGTGTTTGAACTCAGCTGTTTAATAACTCCTGGCCTAGAGAAACAAGATGGAGACTCCAGAAGGAAAGAGTGGTGTCCTTGGTTTAATCTGTTCCACTATAGAACATAAAGTTGCGGAGTATTTTAGAGCGAGTGCAAGGATATGACCATATCATATGCTGTTGTCCTGGTCTCTCGTATTGTGAGACCCCAAGCTTTCTCATTTGTCATAGAATTATCTATGCTTGGTCTTTTATTGGAGTTTTAAGAAAAACCTTTACACCCAGGTACAGAGCTCTTTACCCAGTACGGTGATTTTCTCCTGTCTTTGGTATCAATGTGGATAATGGCCATTTGTGAGCCACTTGGTCAGCTGCTCTGGGCAGCTGGCCCCTGGGTGCAGCCCTGTACCTGCCAGGCAGACCATGTATGTCTTGTCTCAAGTGGCTGTGTCATCCCCGTCTGTGAGCTGCTACCAACCGAGCCCACACCCACAGCCCCCAGGCTTGCTGGGAGGAGCAGAACTCCCTCTACTAGTCCATTGTCATCCCTTTCCTAGGAAATAGGTGATCTTCCAGCCCCTTTATGATCAAACGCAGATGACTGTTTATAGTGGAGGGGAAAATAATTGCCTTTGTCTAGTTGAGAGACGTAACCTCTGAGATGTTATTGAAATATCTATCAGCCTCACCTTCTTTCTGGAACCTTACAATAAAAATTGATCCCTGGCTTAGAGTATTCTGTCAGTGTCTACTGGGCAGCTGAGGTTGCCACTTAGCACTCTCTGGTCACTAACCTGGCTCTTCCTGTGTCCATCCTGCTTCCAGTTCCATATGTGCAGCTCAGTCACCTGAGCACCGAGTCAGGTACCTTCCTCTGTGCTGGCCCCACACCCTGCCTCCCAGCCACGCTCTCCTGGCTGCATTGGCTGCCTGCAGCATGTCCGCGGTTTTCCTGTGCAGTGAGAGCCCGATAGAACGTGGCTCGTTATGCCCCAAGGGGTTTAGCCTATAGTTCCAGCCCCGGTCCCCAGGAGGAAGAAAGGATCTGGTTGTAAGGGCCAGGCCTTCTCTTGTGACCCTAATCCAGGGTCATAATAGCAGCTGAAGCTTAACAGACAGGGCCCCCCTTCCACTACCGCCTACTGACCCTAGTATTAATCCCCAGCCACAGGCAGGAATGGAAGGGCAGCCTTGACTCTAAATGGGAGTGTCAGAGACTGTGCCCAGAGAACTCTGGCACCTTTGACCCCAGCATTGAAATGACAGCTGTGGGAGTGGCTGGTGCCTCAGGAGGATATGCCATGTAAAGCCCTGTCCCATCCAAGCTGGAAGGACCTTAGGGTCAAGCAGTGGCATAACACGAGTCTGAGGTCAACACCTAACCCCAGAGCTCTTCCTTCCCAGCAACCTATGCCTCATCCCTGTGTAGAAGTCAGCTCCAGGTGTAGCTTCCCTCCCCTCCACCCACACCTGCCTACGTGTCTCCTCGCCCTCCTCCCCAGGTAGTCAGGGTAGCCTGTGGACACGGATGGTAGTCTTGTTGTATCGGGCTTGCACTGTGTCTGTGAAACACTTTCATACTTGTGTGGTTTGTCTGTCTTTTCTTTGGTGTAGTCTTGCATGCACTGTAGGTTTTGATTACCTGTTTGGGTTCCTAAAGCCTCCTTCATAATCACTGTGTGAATGGCGTGGGCATAGCTAAGAGGCTAGATTCTGTCTGGACTTAGGGGTTTTGCCACTCACCTAGAGCTAATAATGCAAAATGGGGATGGCTGTATTTTGTCCTGGGTGTCATTGTAAATGGGTTGGAGAGGCTACACACAAAACCTCTGGTGAAACTTCTAGATTAGCTGAGCATAACCAGGGCTCCCTTTTCTAGTCTTCTTGCTTCTTTGTTCCAGTACCATCTGTCAGCATGACCCGGCTGGCCAGATCACGAATCCACTCAACCTCAAGTAGCATGGGCTCTGGAGAAAGTCACTTCAGCCGGTCTGTCACCAGCCATCAGTCAGATGGAATTCAAGAATCTCATGAGTGCCCTGATGTCCTGGAAAGACACCCGACGATGGCGGTGTCCTGCTAAGCAGATGCTCCTCCCCTGGACCATACAAGTCCACCCTTCTTCAAATGACTACTCCTTAATGTAACATTACATCCAGTAAACCGGCCTCTACTATCTTTAACTCATGTATGGCCACTGAACCTCTCTCTAGTAGCCTGGATTTATCATTCTTCATGTCTGCCCACCCCCTTTTTTGTATATATTAAGAACCACTTCCATGCCATGACTATAACATTCCAACATTGTTAGCTGATCCAATCTCCATATCTTCTCTCGCCAGCTTTTTCCTATGCTCCCCAACCATGTATCAGATGAGATCCTTTGATCCCAACTCTGTGTGTATGCAAGCACGCGTGTCTGAGTTTGTGTGTGCATAATTGTGTGATTTTAGATATGCTTTCTTGTAGCGCTAATGCAAACAAAAAAAGACATTTTTTAGCATCATCCATGATGTCTTTTTGTTTTTTCTTGAGACAGAGTCTCACTTTGTGGCCCAGGCTAGAGTGAGTGCCGTGGCATCAGCCTAGCTCACAGCAACTTCAAACTCCTGGGCTCAAGCAATCCTACTGCCTCAGCCCGAGTAGCTGGGACTACAGTCATGTGCCACCATGCCTGGCTAATTTTTTCTATATATATTAGTTGGCCAATTAATTTCTTTCTATTTATAGTAGAGTCGGGTTTTCACTCTTGCTCACGCTGGTTTAGAACTCCTGACCTTGAGCGATCCTCCCGCCTCGGCTTCCCAAAGTGCTAGGATTACAGGCGTGAGCCACTGTGCCCAGCCCCATTGATTTTTTTTTTTTTCTTTTTTAACTTTCCTCTTCTACTGGATTAGATTTTTTTTTTTTTTTTTTTTTTTTTGGAGACAGAGTCCGCTTTCTTGCCTAGGCTAGAGTGGAGTGCCATGGCATCAGCCTAGCTCACAGCAACCTCAAACTCTGGGCTCACAATCCTACTGCCTCAGCCCTCCGAGTTGCTGGGACTACAGGCACGAGCCACCATGCCCGGCTAATTTTTTATATATATATAGTTGGCCAATTGATTCTTCCTATTTATTTTATAGTAGAGACGGGGTCTCGCTCAGGCTGGGTTGAACTCCTGACCTTGAGCAATCCGCCCACCTCGGCCTCCCAGAGTGCTAGGATTACAAGCGTGAGCCACCGCGCCCGGCCTCCCATTGATGTTTTTAAGGGAAATATGCAGAACAGATTTCTAGATTGGTTCCAAATTGGTCAACGTGATTTGCAAAGTGACGTCAGGAGAGAACAGCTCTGAGGAATGTGGAAGATCATGACTGCTAAGACCCTTGACTGATTGTGACCAACTGGAGAAGGTACCTGTTCATAAGGAGCCAGCCAGGGTGGCCATCCGCCCCCTCTGTCCAGATGAATTCATAAATACTATTCTATAAATTCAAGGGAGGGAGACAGTCTATTTCATACAAGAAACCCATGAATGATGAGGTTCTGATACAACAGAATTTTTTCCAAGGAGCAAGTGTGGTTTAATTACTGGACTCTCTTAGCACAGGAAGACAGAAAACAAAATGCCAGGCCTCGGCTCTGCAAGAGCAAAACTGCTGTTGCCACAGTGTCGGATACCACTTACCAGACATCCATATGTCCACAAGAAGTGCCTCCCAAGTCTGTGATGGGGAGAGTGAAGTAAGCCTTGATTTCAGCAGACTTAATGGAAGCTAAATTTAATTAACATAGTACCCATTTCTCAGAAAGATTCTTAATCCTATGAAGTCCCTTTTGTAGGAGGAAAGAGACCCACCTGTAAGGGCAGCCCTGTCCAGGTAAAACTTTTCAGCTTCCTGTCTACTATTATGTGAAGGGTCACAGCCAGCCAGAAAGTATTGCTGGAGGAGGGTGAAAGCCATGGAGACCAACTGCCACGCAGCCAGAGCCCAGTTCTTGGAAGCATTGCGATGTAAGCTCAGGGTTATACGGTTCCAAATCTCGGAAAGGGGCTTTTCAGACTCATTGTTTGCTTTCTGCTGAGATAAGGAATATATCACTCTGCCAGAGTATGACTTTTTACAGATTGTTAATAAAGCTGTATATGTCTCATTGTTACCTGATTGCTGGTGTTATTTCTCTCAAGCTACTCATTGGGTTCAGGCAGGACCAAGTTACTAAATGCTGGTTCTGTGCTGAGCATGTTCACATGTGATCACTTCCCCCCCCCAGTGACACTGTCCATTTATAGGGAGGAAATGAAGCCTCAGGATCAATCATTTGCCCAAGGTTCTACAGCCAATAAGGCCAGCAAGGACTGAATCCCAGTTCCATCTGACATGTCTGTATTTCCCTCAATGCAGACATTGTGAGAAGCCCAACAGTGCTGTGTGTGATGAAGGAAGAGAAGCTGAGGTCTTGGCAAGGTGCTGCACACCTCAGCTCTGCCATCTCTACGGGATTGCTGAGTCCTGCCTATCCTTTAATAATCTACAGCCAGTTGTCTGGGATCCTCTAGGAGACCAGCCTGTATTTCTTCAGAAATGGCTATATCTGTACCAAGAATAATTTCAGGAAGCCACTGTCTCAGATCAGTTTTGAGTGATACAGAGACTAGTGCTACCCTAAGTACAAGCAGGTCGCTGCATCCATGGGAGGTACTTGCAAAATGACATGGAGCCTGCCCGTTCTGGTACGGAATGGGGGTGCTGAATGCTTTCCCTGCCCTGAGTGGCTGCTACCACCCATTCTAACATCCTGATTAGAAATTACCTGCACAGTTACTCTACTCTGGCTCCTTCAGCTCTACCTACCACATGCCTGCATAGTTAAATATCAAACCAGCCTTCCCCAGGAGCAAGGGAGAGAGCCTGGCAGGAACCCTGAGACCTAAACAGGAGTGTGCTGTAGCTGGAAAGACACCAGAAAAGGCTGCATTGTCTGAGCTGGAGAGAGGAGCCGTCTCCACGTAACGGGCCATTCTGTGTTAAACAGCATCTGTATCCGGGCCGGTGGCTCAAACCTGTAATCCTAGCACTTTGGGAGGCCGAGGCGGGAGGATTGCTCCAGGTCACGGGTTCGAAACCAGCCTGAGCAAGAGTGAGACCCCCGTCTCTACTAAAAATGGAAAGAAATTAATTGACCAACTAAAAAAATGTATATATACAAAAAACAAACAAAAACTAGCCGGGCATGGTGCTGCATGCCTGTAGTCCCAGTTACTTGGGTAGCTGAGGCAGCAGGATTGCTTGAGCTGAGGAGATTGAGGTTGCTGTCAGCTAGGCTGACGCCATGGCACTCAGTCTACCCTGGGCAACAAAGTGAGAGACAGTCTCAGAAAGAAAGAGAGAGAGAGAGAAGAGAGGAGAGAGAGGAGAGGAGAGAGGAGAGAAAGAGAGAAAGAGAGAAAGAGAGAAAGAAAGAGAGAGAGAGAGAAAGAGAGAAAGAGAAAGAGAGAAAGAAAGAAAGAAAGAAAGAAAGAAAAAGAAAGAAAGAAAGAAAGAAAGAAAAAGAAAGAAAGAAAGAAAGAAAGAAAGAAAGAAAGAAAGAAAGAAAGAAAGAAAGAAAGAAAGAAAGAAAAAGAAAGAAAGAAGAAAGAAAGCAAGCATCTGTTTCCAGGATTACTCACCCCCCAAGGCAAATGGGTGTGGTGAAATTTTAATAAACTGTGGGCTAAAGGTAACGACCCAGATGTCAAAGATAATTCAGTCAGAGTCAGTCTTGATCTAGACCACAGATTCTCAGGCTTGGGCATGATTCAGAATCACCTGGAAGGCTTGCAGGGGACCTGTCCCCAGACTCTCTGATCCAATAGATGTGAGATCAGTTCTGAAAATTTGCAAGTCTGACAAATTCCCAGGTGATACCGAGGCTGCTGGTCTGGGGACCACACTTTGAAGAGCACATTCTGCACGGTAGTTCTCAAAGTGTGCTTCCCAGACGAGCAACACGAGCATCACCTGGAAGTTTATTAGAAATGCCGAATCTTGAAGCCCACCACAGACCTGCTGAATCAGAGTCTACGACTGACCAAGATCCCCAGGTGATTCTTTTTTTTTTTTTATTTTTTTTTTATTTTTTTTTTTAGAGCCCCAACTTAAGCATTATTTTTTTTTTTTATATTTTTTTTTTTTACTTTTTTTACCCAGGTGATTCTTATACACATTAAATGTTGAGAAGGCCGTGCTTCTGGAACTTGCCAGTCAAGAGAATCCCTGGGAGTGTTTACAATTTAGATTCCTAGGTTCCCCCTCTGGCAGCGTAGATTTAGAAGGTATGGGACAATCCCATTGCTAAACTTAATCCCCGCTGGTGATTATTACAGTCAGGCCAGCATGGGAAACTCCTGCTCATTTACCTTGGTGCTGTGTTCCCTGGACAAGACCACGCTGCAAAGCCAGAGAAAATCCTTTTGTTCCAGGATCATGACAAGGCAGCTGCTGCTCCCCCAGAAACAGGAACTTGGGGAAGGTGGCTCTTCGCTGATCTGTGATGCCGTCAGAGGAAATGGGTGGTTGTGAGAACCACAGAGTCTGCAGACAGGAGCCACAGCTCCAAGGACCCTGCACCTGCGTCTTTGTGACAGAGCTCAGGGAACCCTAGGTCTTCTTCCCTGACCCAGCTGTGCTTGGGAGGGGTGTCCAGTCCAGCGTCTCCAAGGAGCATGGGGCTCCTCACCCATCCTGGGTTTATAAACTGCTGACCACAGACAGATGATGACCCACCCCAACAGACACAGCCTCTCGAGAGCCTCCCGGGCCAAGAAAGTTCTGGGTGTCCTAGGACCAAAGACTTTGGCTCACTGCCCGAAGGGGCCCCCAAAGCTCTAACCTGTCCTGCGAAAGCATGCATCTAAGTTGAGCCCTCTGCCCAAACCTCGGACAAGAAACCAGTAAGTATGCTTGCTTTTTGTTTTCTCATGGCCTGAGGCAGGTGAGGAAGAATTGTCCTCCCAGAGACTGGCACTGGGCTTTATTTGCTGCTGGGAAACAAGAGCTTAAGGAGAAGGGGAAGTGGTCTATGAATGTGCAAGGGGGGTGGTTTCTGGGGGTCCCAGAAGAACCGAGGCCTCCCCTCTCCTCTGTCTCTCTAGCTTGTCCTTGTGCCCATTCTGATCCCATCTTGGTTACCGACCGGCTGTGTGACTTTGGGCCCCTCTCTGCGCTGCCGTCTTCCACAGCCAGTGAAGGAGAGATTATCATCTCTGAAGACACTTCAGCTGTAGACTCTACAATTCCTCTCAAAGGGTGATGTTTCTCAGTTGAAAGAGAGAGATCCCCCTTAAATCCAATCCAAATTCATCACTCTTATGCCCACTGCTGAAAATGATCTTGAGAAGCACAAAACACTCATGTTTGTCCGGGCTGTGGGTAACCAGCTCTACAACCATTAAGCACGAGGTTGTCCTCTCGGGGCCTTGGTCATTATATTTAAAATGGGACTCTAGGCCAGGCATGGTGGCTCATGCCTGTAATCCTAGCACTCTGGGAGGCTGAGGTGGGCGGATCGCTCAAGGTCAGGAGTTCAAGACCAGCCTGTGCATGAGGGAGACCCTGTCTCTACTAAAAATAGAAGGAAATTAATTGGCCAACTAATAATATATAGAAATAATATATAGAAAAAATCAGCCTGGCATGGTGGTGCATGCCTATAGTCCCAGCTACTCAGGATGCTGAGGCAGAAGGATTGCTTGAGCCCAGAAATTTGAGGTTGCTGTGAGCTAGGCTGACACCACGGCACTCTAGCTGGTGCCACAGAGTGAGACTTTGCCTCAAAACAAAACAAAAAAACTCTAAGTTCAACACAGTGTGCTGATCTCAGCTGCCTTTTACTCTTTCCTCCATCTACTGACTCGGGTCCCCTAGAAGGTGCTGAGCACATAGTAAGTTGCTCAAATATTTGTGTGGTTAATGACTAGATTATCTCTTATAAAAGTTTCCACTAATATCTCCTCCTTGGAAGCCTGCCCACTGCATGGTCTTCCATTTGCCACCAGGACCTCACGAGGGAGGGAGTTCCAGGGAGGCTTCCAGCATGAGTGTAGCTCCTCTCTCCCTTGGCCCTTAGGGCCCAGCCCCAGCTCCACCTGCAGCAGGAAGTAGTCTCTGGGTTTATGCAGTTGGTGATTGTGGTATTGTTGAAGGAGGGGAAAGGAAACTAAGCTTCACTGAGCACCCATTCTGTGCCACACTCCTCTAATTCTCCCCACGATCCTGCGGAGTGGATATTCCTTTCCCCAGTTCACAGGTGAGACTCAGCTTATGTGCTTTGCCTGAGGTCATGCAGCTCGAACCTGGTTGGCCTGAAGTGATCACCCATGCTACCCAAGGCAGGTGTTCTCTCCCTGGGATTTCCTGGAGACCCATGTCTGCAAAGTTAAGCATTGAGCCTGGACCTCCTACCCAAGGGGCACAGACAGACTGGGAGGCAGCAGGGATATTGACAACCTGAACTGGAGGGGTGCTCTAGCATCCAGGGAATCAGAAACCTCAGGAGGCAGCAGCACCATCTCAGTCTACCACCACCGCAGGGTCCCAAAACCTGAGCAGGAAGAGGCTGTCAGAAGCCATTGCTTATCTGGAGCTAAAGAGCTCCCTTCCAGATGAATACTGAAGTCCCCATGGAGAGGCAGCAGCAAGCAGGTATTGTTATTCTCATTCGATGACATGAGAATAAAGAACAGAAAGAGGGTGTGTTTTATCCTCTAAGGTAGGATCTTTACTCCTCAGACAGGACTGGCCCACGAGGCTGTAGAAGTCATTCGCGATAGTTATTGATGGACATCGATTTTCATCCAGATAGCATGGGGATCAAGGGCAAGCATGACTTCCTCCTCCCTGGACCCCCAGCCCTTGGCTGGTTCATGACATAGAGCAGGAGCTTGGTGAATACCAGCTGAATGGGACCAAACATGTAATGGTGTCTTGTCTCTACTGAAAAGAACGAAATCCTCTCAAGTATAAAGCTCAGTCCCCCACTCCCCAAACATGTTGATATGGTGTTTGAAAAAATCAGCATTACCCCAGAAACCTGGGTATTTAAATTCTGGGTATTAAATTCTGAGGATCAGACATCTGTCCGAAGATCTGATCAGCACTTTGGTGTATTTAGACAATGTATTTTAAGCAGGTGCTGTGGGCCCTCAATGCTGAGGACACAGGCAAACGAGGCCCTGGTCCTCAGGCATCTGTAGGATAATGGCAGATTAAACAAGTAAACTCTACAGGCAATGAGTAATTAAAACTTTTGAAAGAGCACAACAGGGAGCCAAGAGAGAAAAAGGAGGAAGCTCCCCAGAGGGGCCTCTGGTAAAGTGACAATCTGGACAAGATGAAGGAAATGGGCAGGCCAGGCTCCTTGTGCAGTGTTATCTCTTGGACTGTGTGTCGGGTGTTGTTATCCCCATTTTTCAGATGAGGAAAAGGAGGCACAGAGAGGGGAAGTGGCTCAGCCACCAACCCCCTAAGGCTTGCAAGTCATCACTGCGTCATCTAGCCTCGTGGCACTCTGTGACACCAATAACAGTGTGTTCGGTGCCCCCTTGCCTGTCGTGACACTGGCTCTCAAGCCCGCCCAGATCCCCTCGCCCTCCTCTGACCCTAGCCACGAGCCCCGTCATGCCTGGAGTGACCTCACTGGCCCATCACTGTCCCCTACCCCCAGGGGAACAGTGAGATCCCAGGTCAGAGAAAGGGTTCCACATGGGCCACAAGAATTCAAGGGAGTGGTCAGCAAAGGCTAGGGCGTGGGGAGAGCTTCCCAGGGCAGGGCAGGATCCAGACAAGCCCTAAGGGGAGGAAAGGGCATTCCTGCCATGGGCAGGCACACAAGCAAAGGCCCAGAAGCAAAGAACTGAGCCGGGATGCAGAGAAAACTGCGCCCAGTTTGCAGGGAGCCCTCAGTGTGGTGGAGGGGCTGGGGCCGGGTCCTGATGGGAGGCAGGTTTCGCACATGTCAGCAAGGAGATCTGCAGGGGAGTGAGGGGTGTCTGGGGACCAGGCCAGGGGCCATAGCTCAGTCCCCATCATAGCATCTCTTTCAGATTTTTCTTTGCGATGTGCTTCCAAGTGCCCTGCTGAGGAACGATGGGAAGTCTGCCCAGCAGAGGAAAAACCCTGCCAAGCCCAAGCTCGAGCCCCTCCGTCCAAGGCCAGGAACCTGTCCCCGTGCAAGCAGGTAGGCCTCAGGACCTTTCCCAGGCACTGTGAGGTTGCACAGTCCTAGACTTCACTGCCATGGGCCTTCCTGACCAGTAACCCCAACACAGCACAAAGTATCAGTGAGTGGCTCCTGTATCCCAAGCCCTTCCTAGTAAGCCATGCAAGCAGGGCCCCTGCTCTTGCAGAGATTGCATTAGCAGTGAGAGCATGAAACAACCAGGTGAATAAGAAAATAGGAGAGACCGGGTGAGGTGGCTCATGCCTGTAATCCTAGCACTCTGGGAAGCCTAGGCAGGCGGATTGCTCGAGGTCAGGAGCTCGAAACCAGCCTAAGAGCGAGACCCCCGTCTCTACTATAAATAGAAAGAAAATTGGCCAACTAATATATATAGAAAATTAGCCGGGCATGGTGGCGCATGCCTGTAGTTCCTGCTACTCGGGAGGCTGAGACAGCAGGATTGCTTGAGCCCAGGAGTTTGAGGTTGCCGTGAGCTAGACTGATGCCATGGCACTCACTCTAGCCTGGGCAACAAAGCTAGACTCTGTCTCAAAAAAAAAGGAAATTAATTGGCCAACTAATATATATAGAAAAAATTAGCTGGGCATGGTGGCTCATGCCTGTAGTCCCAGCTACTTGGGAGGCTGAGGCAGCAGGATTGCTTGAGCCTAGGAGTTTGAGGTTGCTGTGAGCTAGGCTGACGCCACAGCACTCACTCTAGCCTGGGCAACAAAGTGAGACCCTGTCAAAAAAAAAAAAAAAGAAAATAGGAGAAAGGGATAAGCATTAACCAGCGTATTGGACCCAGAGGGCCTGATAGTTAGTTCCTCAGGCATCTCCCAAGGTTTCTCTCCTCAGTCAGCTCATCCACAGGTGAGGCCAGCCAGCTTTACTTCCATAGCTCTCCAAAGATGCACAGTCCATTGCAGTAGCCACTAGCCACAGGCAATGGTTTATAATTTTTAAAATTCTATTCCTTTATCACACCAGCCACATTTCAAGTCCTCAGATTCACATGTAGTTAGTGGCTACATTATTGGACAGCACAGAATTATAGAACATTTCCATTGTCGCATAAAGTTCTGGATAATTCAAATGGACATTAGGGGTGATGTGAAATACTAAAGCAAAAGCATGTTTTGTTTTTTTTTTCTTTTTAAAGAGACAGGGTCTTACTCTGACATCCAGGCTGAAGTACAGTGGTGTCATCATAGCTCACTGCAACCTCAAATGCCTAGGCTCAAGTATTTTTCTTGCCTCAGGCTTCCTAGTAGCTGGAATTACAGGCATGCACCACCATGCCTGGCTAATTTATTTTTATTTTTATTTTTATTTTTTTGAGACAGAGTCTTGCTTGTTACCCAGGCTAAAGTGAGTGCCGTGGTGTCAGCCTAGCTCACAACAACCTCAAACTCCTGGGTTCAAGCAATCCTTCTGCCTCAGCCTCCCGAGTAGCTGGGACTACAGGCATGTGCCACCATGCCCGGCTAATTTATATATATATATAATTAGTTGGCCAATTAATTTCTATTTATAGTAGAGACGGGGTCTCGCTCTTGCTCAGGCTGGTTTCAAACTCCTGACCTTGAGCAATCCGCCCGCCTCGGCCTCCCAGAGTGCTAGGATTACAGGCGTGAGCCACCGCTCCCGGCCTATTTTTATTTTTGTAGAGATGGGGTCTCACTATGTTGCCCAGGCTGGTGTTGAACTCCTGACCTTAGTGATCCTCCCACCTTAGCCTCCCAAAGTGCTGGGATTATAGACATGAGCCACCGTCCCCAGCTTAAAAGTGGGGCTCTTTTAATGAGGAGGTGGGTAAAGCTCATACAATGCTTATACTGAACCTATAACCATGATTTTCTAAGATAGTCTCTTTTTTTTTTTAGACTGAGTCTTTCTCTTGTGCCTAGGCTAGAGTGCTGTGTTGTTAGCCTAGCTCACAGCAACCTCAAACTCCTGGGCTCAAGCAATCCTCCTGCCTCAGCCTCCCAAGTAGCTGGGACTACAGGCATGCGCCACCATGCCCAGCTAATTTTTTCTATATATTTTTAGTTGGCCAATTAATTTATTTCTATTTATAGTAGAGATGGGGTCTTGCTCTTGTTCCGGCTGGTTTCGAACTCCTGACCTTGAGCAATTCGCCTGCCTGGGCCTCCCAGAGTGCTAGAATTACAGGCATGAAGGGACATGCACTTTATATGGGTCATGTGCAGACTTTGCTACTGTGACTGGTTAAGTCACCTAAACTCCTCATCTAAAGTTTCTCGTTTGAGGCTGAGCATGGTGGCTCATGCCTATAATCAATCCCAGTGGGACTGAGAAGCTGAAGTGGGACAGTCACTTCAGGCCAGGTATTGAAGACTAGACTGGGCAACATAGATCCCATCTTTTTACAAATTTTTAAAAATTAGGCCAGGCACGGTGGCTCATGCCTATAATCCTAGCACTCTGGGGAAGATTGCCTGAGCTCAGGAGTTCAATACCAGCCTGAGCAAGAGTGAGACCCCATCTCTACAAAAAATAGAAAAATTAGCTGGGCATCATGGTGCATACCTATAGTCTCAGCTACTTGGGAGGCTGATGCAGGAGCATCGCTTGAGCCCAGGTGTTGGAGGCTGCAGTGAGCTGTGATGATGCCATTGCACTCTACCTGGGGTGACAGAGCAAGATTCTGTCTCAAAAAAAAAAAAATTTTTTTTTTTTAAATTAGCCAGGCATGCTGGGATGTACCTAGTCCCAGCTACTCAGGAGGCTGAGGTGGGAGAATTACTTGACCCCAGGAGTTCATGGCTGCAGTGAGCTATGATTGTAACACTGCACTCCAGCCTGGGCAACAGAACAAGACCCTAATAATAAAATAAAAAACATTTATTAAGCTTTTCATTTGTAAAGTCTTAATCTTTCCTGAACCGTGTGAGAATTAAAGATGTAAATATCTTAGCACACGTTTTACTGAGCTGATTTAAAAGCAATCTTTAGAGAACATGAGAAATTATGTCAATGTGCCTAGAAATATGTAGCAAAGTTTACAGTTGGGTATCAGATAACAAGAATATTGGGCTCAGAATGATTAAATGCCTTAGAGGTAGATCTTGACTAATTAGAACAAAGGTCACTTCACTCCTATCACTATTACATAAAATGTTGATCAGCAAACACTGATAAGCCAAAATCAATTCAGAACAAATTTTTTTTTACCCCAAATTAGAGTTAGTTGGAATCATGAGCAAATTATGCAAAGCAAGGTATTAATCTATAAATATGATAAACTGGTTTAAAGCAGTTTTTTCATCTGAGACAGAGTCTTCACTTTGTTGCCTCGGCTAGAGTGCTGTGCCATCAGCCTAGCTCACAGCAACCTCAAACTCCTGGGCTCAAGCAATCCTGCTGCCTCAGCCTCCCAAGTAGCTGGGACTACAGGCATGTACCACCATGCCCGGCTGATTTTTTCTATATATATTAGTTGGCCAATTAATTTCTTTCTATTTTTAGTAGAGAAAGGGCTCAGGCTGGTCTCAAACACCCAACCTCAAGCAATCCTCCCGTCTTTGCCTCCCAGAGTGCTAGCATTACAAGCGTGAACCACCATACCCAGCCAAAGAAAATTTTTTCTTTTTTTTTTTTTTCTTTGTGGTGACAGGGTCTCACTCTGTTGCTTGAGCTAGAGTGCAGTGGCATTGTCATAATTTACTGTAATCTTGAACTACTAGGCTTAAATGATCCTCCTGCCTCAGCCTTCCAAGTAGCAGAACTGCAGGCATGTGCCGCCATACCTGACTGATTTTTGTATTTTTTATATAGGTGAGTGTCTCACTATGTTTCTCAGGCTTAAAGCAAATTTTTCTTATACACATAAGACAAACTTAGATCCAGATTGGGTGCTCTAGAAGGCTGTTCCCTGCATGATATGTCTCTTGTGTCTCTTCATTGTGCACAGGGCTCCAAGAAGTTAACAAGGTCACTCCAAACCAAGCAGCACTTCTAGGAGGAAGGACATGGGTGTACAGTTAAACAGGATGAGGAGATGGCAAAGCCAAGATGTCTGGATATCTGGGTGTGGATGGGAGCTATCCCGCATCTGAATGGCTGGAGCTTCCTTCCCCAGATCCACATTTCCCTGTTGCCAGCCTCCCCCAGGCCTTGGCCCCTGGGCCCTGCAAGACTCCTGCCGCAGAGGCAGCTGCCTCTGTTCAGCCACCTGGTGGCAGGGAGAGGCCCCACAGGAAGAAACCTGGAAACCGCACAGATCTCCACTGTGGTTTCCTCTGGATCTAGCCGCAGGCAGCGGTCCCAGGGCCACTCTGAGTCATGCCTGGGGCTGCTCAGGGTGGTGACCACCTCTGCAGGTGTGTGGGGCCCTCCCTGCTGTGGGGCCTCCAGCAGGATCTACCTGGCCCCAGAAGGAGTAGCAGTTTTGGGCAACCCCCTCCACGAGCCATTTGTCCATCCATCTTAAGTCTACTGGGGCGCTACCACGTGCCAGGCCATATGACAGGACCTGGGGACACAGCAGTGGCCAAGACAGGCATAGTCCCTGCCTCCAGGCAGATGCTAAACCAATAATGGATCACAGTTGTATTAGATTTTGGTGGCAGTATGTTTTAGGGGACTCTGACCCAGAGTATATGTGGAGATGGCTAGTCAGGGAAGGGACATTTCAGCCAGGAAGTGAAGGATGATGCTGAGTGAGCCAGGCAGAGTGGGGACCATTCAGGGGACAGTGTGTGTAGCTCAGGGGCTCAGCCCCTGGAGACACAAGGCCAGGGCTTCCAGGAGGGAAAGGGGCCCATCTTATCAGAGAACACCCTCCCCAAGACTGGCTTCGCTTATTTGAGCATAGGTATTTCCCTGCACCCTGGGCCAGCCAGGCCTCTGCTGCAAAGACAGCTCAGAGGAGAGACCCTGGGGGGCCCCAGGCTGGGTTCACTGCAGGCGTCTCCATGCGTGTCTGGGAGGACGTGTCGGCTTTGGTCCATTTCCATAATCAGTTTCTCTTCCCACGTCCACCCAGAGCAGACGCCCTTCAGCCACATGGTGTCCAAGCCCTCGGTCCTTGTCTGTCCACCTGCCTCCACCACCCCCACTGTCCTGGGGTCCCAGCTCCATCTAGAGGGCATCTCAGAGTCCCCTGAGGCCTTGGTTCCTTCGGGGGCATCTGAGACGGATGAGCCTTTCTCCCTGGCCCCGACTGCTGCTCACAGCTGAATGTGTTACTGTGTGCACAAGTCTCTCCAGAGACCCTTATTTATTTATTTATTTTGAGACAGAGTCTCACTCTGTTGCCCAGGCTAGAGTGCCGTGGTATCAGCCTAGCTCACAGCAACCTCAAACTCCTAGGCTCAAGCAATTCTCCTGCCTCAGCCTCCCGAGTAGCTGGGACTACAGCAATGTGCCACCATGCCCGGCTAAGTTTTTCTATATATATTAGTTGGCCAATTAATTTCTTTCTATTTTTAGTAGAGACGGGGTCTCACTGTTGCTCAGGCTGTTTTTGAACTCCTGACCTTGAGCAATCCTCCTACCTCGGCCTCCCAGAGTGCTAGGATTACAGGCGTGAGCCACTGCGCCCAGCCTCTCCAGAGACCCTTAAAGAAAAGGACAGGAGGGTACTTGGGGTGCCCATAAAGTGGCTTCCAACAGCTACCAAGGGCATGTTTTTGAGACCTTATAAGGCCCCAGAAGGCACAGGCAGGTCTTGTTAGACTGGGTGCACTGATCCTTGGGGTGGGGAGGAGAAGTGAGTCCTGTGCTGAGGGCCACCTGCTGCCCAGCCTTGAAATTGGGCCTTGTGGCCGACACGTCCTCGGGACCATTCCCAATGTGGCTGGGGACTGAGGCTACCTCCAGCTCTGTGACCCCAGCCAGTCACTCCTTGCCTGACCCTCAGCCTCCCAGGGTGTCTGAGCCCTTCCTGAGACATGCTGCTGCCACCCAGCCTGTGAGACGAGGTGGTGTGCCCAAGGGCTGCGCCCTCACTACCCAGCCGAGTCCCCAGTCAGGGCGCCTTACTGCACAGTGGAGACGTGGCTGCCTCAGGCAGTGGGCAGGGCTGAGTAATGGGTGCACAAGCCCCCTCAGCAAGTGTGCCTAGGTGGCTGACCAGGACATGTGGTGGCCCTGTGTGACTTGGGACCCAGCTGCTGGCCTTTACTGAGTTTCCAGCCTTCAGAGCTAGTCCACCCAGTGCCAGTCCCATCAGCACCTTCCAGAAGCTGGGCTCAGGCCTATGCTGATGCCTGCTTAGAGCTGTAGGTTTTAAGTTTTCTGAGAGTAGAATGCCTTTATATATAAAGGGCATTGTAGCCATGAGCTCCACTCCTTTTGCTACCCAAATCCTTTCATTATGGTGACCCCAAGAGCTGTCTGGGCACCCCAGGGCTCTGCAGGGCCCCGCTGGAAAAGCCTCAGATTCCAGGGTGGCCCCCCTGGGGAGCAGATGGGCCTCATCGTGGTGCCTGGGGGGCTGACGATGGGTACCAGACCTAGGCCAGACTCCTCTAGACCTCACGTCTCTGTCCCTCCATCCAGAGAGAAGCAAGGCCACAGCTGTGGCCCTGGGCAGTTTCCCTGCAGGTGGGCAGACTGAGCTGTCGCTGAGACTAGGGGAGCCGCTGACCATCATCTCTGAGTAAGTCCGCGGGCACTGGATCCCTGACAACCCACTGATGGGAGAAGGGGCCCGTCCCCCCAGTAGAAAAGCTCGAGGCCTTTAGTGAAGTGCTCCCCTGTGACCCTGTGCTAGAATTTCTGGCAGCTTGACACCCCCACAAGGAGCAGCAGTGTGCAGAGGCCCCCTGGCAGGCAGCCTTGAAGCCACACCATCTCCCACCAGCCCCAGCCTGGCCCAGGCAGTGCCTGCACTAGCAAGTGCAAGGAAGCCTGGGAAACAGGTGGGACAGACGGCCGCAGGTCCCAGCCTGAGAGGGTCCTTGTAAGCCCTGAATGTGCGGTTCCCATGGCTTGGCTCTTCTGAAAGGGGTGCTGCCTCCTCTCTCCCCAAGGGGTGGAGACTGGTGGACGGTGCTGTCAGAAGTCTCGGGCAGAGAGTACAACATCCCCAGTGTCCACGTGGCCAAGGTCTCCCACGGGTGAGTTCTCCCCACAGGCCCACCTCAGGGAGCTTCTTGCTCTCTGCTCCACAAGCATCCCCTTCCGTCAGCCCTGCGGTGAGCACAACTAGGTACCAGGAGAATCCCAGGCCTGCCCACCACGTGTTCTAACGCAGGTTGGCCTGGGAGTCAGTCCAGAGGAGGGGCTGGGGGAGCCCCTAGAGGACTTGTGAGGTCTGGGCTTTGGAGGGTGGCTAGGATCTGGCGGGGGAGAACGCTGAGGGGGACGTGCTGGGATGGGAGCAGTCTGCGTAAGTGTCCCCAGACGAGAAGATGGAGGGACACTCTTGGCAGGCAGAGGCTTGGAAAGGAGAGTGGACGGAATGGGGTGCTGGGGGCCTGGGCAGTTACAGAAGAGAGGCTGGGATCACCGTCCCAGAACGCCCTAGGCCTCTTGGGAGTGAGGTTTCCAGGCAGAAAAAGCAGAGGTTGACCCCATGAAGATGTCCTCCCAGGCCCCTGGAGCCGGGACCAGGAGGACAAAGCTGGAGTGGGTCTCGGAGACCTGAGGACAGATCTTTGTGGTACAGATAGAACTTTGAGGCCCAGAAAGGGAGGGCCTTGTGAAGGTCACACAGGGTGGGGTTGGGGGCAGGGAGGGTCCCAGTACAGTCCTGCCACACCCCCAGGCTGACCCTGTCCTCTTCTCCTGTTCCTTCTCCAGGTGGCTGTACGAGGGCCTGAGCCGGGAGAAAGCCGAGGAACTGCTGCTGTTACCGGGGAACCCCGGAGGGGCCTTCCTCATCCGGGAGAGCCAGACCAGGAGAGGTGGGTGAGCTCAGCGTCCCGATACACGATACACGTTCCCTGTGGGAGTCCTCAGGGAAGGCGCCTATAGATGCCCCCAGAGAATAGGCTCTGCCTCACCCCTCAGCCGTGCAGTTACTCAGCCAAGACTTCCTGAGCCCCAGCTCCATGCTCAGGCTGTATGGACTGCTGGGGGGAGACGGAGATAGGCTTTGAGGCCAGAGGAAGGCGGCTAGCTCTGGAGCAATCAAGGGAGGCTTCCTGGAGGAGTGGGCTGAGAGTGGAAGCTTGCAGGATGTTCTCTGGGAGCCCAGGCTGTAAGACACAGTAGTGCTGGGCTGGACCAAGGGGCAACAAGAGGTTAGGAGAAGCAAGCAAGGCCCCAGCCCGGAGGGCCTTGGATGCCAGGCTGAAAAGCTTGAGTTTTCTCCCTGAGGCAGTGGAGTTGTTACTCACCAGAGAACGTCAGTGAGCGTTGTATGTGTGTTTTAGGGGGAAAATGAAATGCTGCAATATAGTTACTCTCTAAGTGTGTTCTGTGGGCCACTTGCTGAGACAGAGCAGCGAATGGGAAGGTCAGTTTGGGGAACACCAAAAATCATATCCTTATCTGAGAGAATCACAATCCGTGCTACAAGACTTCTTAGTGACGTGCCTTTGTATATTTGGGCATTTCCCAAATACTGTTTTATTTTGTAATTATTTTTATTTTTTAGAGATAGGGTCTCATTCTGTTGCCCAGGCTGGAGTGCAGGGGTGTGACCATGGGACTACAGGTGTGCTACCATGCCCACCTCCCAAACACTTTGAACACAGGAACTTTTCATAATGCAGCACCTAGTAATATTCACTCGATATTCATTCAAAAAAGTGCTTCTCAGAGGGAGTATAGCTCAGTGGCTTAGAGCATTTGAGTCCAAAAAAGTGCTTCTGAAGAACCTACTATGTGGGGAGGCCTTAGGGGGAGAAGGAGAAAAAGGAGCCTACTGTATGTGCCAGGCCTTAGGCACCTCTGGTGAGTGAGGTGGGTGTGGTGCTTGCTCTCAGGAAGCTTCCAGCTCACTGGATGCCGGTGTTCCATGGGACACTTTGGGAAACACAGAACTATTTGAGATTTGTATTGATGCCAGGGCTTTTCCCTTGAATGCTAAGAGCCAAGTGTGATATGACTTAGGGGTGGGGATAGGAGACCAAATGTGAAGGGCTAGAGGACCCAGTCTGACTATCTGCCATGGTGCTGCCATCAGAGGCCATCAGCAATAGAGCAAAAACCTGCATTTCTAAAAGCGAGTGTAAGGCCTGGCATAGTGGCTCACACCTATAATCCTAGCACTCTGGGAGGCCCAGTTGGGAGGATCACTTGAGCCTCAGGAGTTGGAGACTAGCCTGAGCAAGAGCCAAGACCCTGTCTCTACTAAAAATAGAAAAACTAGCCTGGCATTGTGGCACAAACCTGTAGTCCCAGCTACTCAGGAGGCTGAGGCAGGAGGATTGCTTGAGCCCAGCAGTTTGAGGTTGCTGTGAGCTAGGCTGATGCCACGGCACTCACTCTAGCCTGGGCAACAGTGAGACTGTCTAAAAAAAAAAAAAAAAAGAAGTGGTAGAAACTTTCAAAAATTTAAATTAAAAAAAAGTCATCTATCTCATGGATCTTCCTCTCTCCACTGAGCTGCTGCCACCGAGTGAGCCTCTGTTGCCACCGAGCAAAGAAGGAGATTGAAGGAGCAGTAGTGCCCACATTTGTGTTAAGCCATTTATTTGTTTTAGAGAGGATGTCTCGCTTTGTGTCCCAGGCTGGAGTATAGTGGCATATGCCAGCTAATTTTTTTATTTCTTTAGAAATGGGGTCTTGCTATGTTGTCCAAGCTGACCTCGAACTCCTGAGCTTGAGCAATCCTCCCACCTTAGCTTGTGGAGTACCACGCTGGGCTCTGTGTTAGGCACTTTAAGTGCCTTAAATCACTTCTATTGTCTGCATTTTACAGATGAGAAAACTGAGGCTTAGAGAAGAGAAACAATTTGCCCAGGGACACTAAGTTCAGAGGTAGGATTCAAACCCAGCCAAGGTTCATCTCCAGGAATCCAAGAAAGGCCCACATGGGTCAATAAGGTTGGATCCGCAGGCACAGTGACAGGCTGGGGAGGAGGTATCCTGGAGTGAGGACAGACCTGGTGCCTGCCCTGATCTGACTACGATGGGCTGTGCAGGTCCTTTCTCCACCTCAGTCCTCCCTTCTAGGGCCCCTCCAGCTTGTCTTTGCCTCTCCTCCCCTTCCCTCAGGAGCTCTCTGGGGCCACCTCTCCCCAGCCCCTCCTATTTTATAGGTGGCATCAGCACCCCCACCCTCACACCGGTATGCTGGTGGGGGGAGGGGACAGCCCAAGTGCAGCCACTGCAAACAGGAAACCATAGCAGTGGTGCTGAGTGGAACGGGCCCCACTGCAGACCTGACCTGGTGAGCCCCAGAAGCCACAGGAAGTGCTCCGAGCTCAGCTGCCCCACCCCCACCCCTTCTCTGGCCTGGTTCAGCCCCGAGAGCATAGTGACCTGCTCCTACACGGGCCCTCAGTGCCTTAGACCAGGCGAAACTGGTTGAGTGAGAAAGGAGAAAGCCATTAAAGAGCCACATAATTACTGGGATTAAGGTCCCCATAGCCAACTCTAAAAGGGGATAGATCAGAATGCAGCTCTCATTATCAAAAAAGGAAGAAATTTGTCAATTCTCCAGGAAAGGTAAAGAGTTCCCCTGGTTAACTTCTAATCTGTCACTGGAGCTTCCTTTTCGGCAGTGTTTGTCAAGTGGCAGGTCATGACCCATTCGTGGGTCAAGAAATCAGTTTGGTCTGGTGATTGATTATAGACCTGTGGGCCTCAAACCTGGGCATGATCAGATCCACCTGGGGGGCTGGTTACACTACGGCCAGCTGAGCCCCTGCACCCAACGTGGCCAGTTCAGTCGGTCTGGGGCGGGGCTGGACTGGCCTTTCTAACAGGTCCTCAGGTGATGCTGATGCAGCAGGTCTGGGACCACACTTGAGAACGGCTGATCTAGACCTTGGCTGCACATTGGACTCACCTGGGGGAGCTTTAAGCACTACTGATGCCTGCACCCCACCCAGAGCTTCTGATTTAATTGGTCAGGGATGTGGCCTGGTCTCTGGACGCTGTAAAAGCACCCCAGGTGATCTCAAGGTGCAGCCAGAGTCAAGACCCACCACTTTGGCGGACGTGGACCTGTGTAGTGTGTGGTGGAATGGAGCAGAAAACATCCGGGAACATGACTGTGGTTGGGAAAATATTGCCTCAAGAGGCCGGGCATGGTGGCTCACGCCTGTAATCCTAGCACTCTGGGAGGCCAAGGCGGGCGGATTGCTCAAGGTCAGGAGTTTGAAACCAGCCTGAGCAAGAGCAAGACCGGGTCTCTACTATAAATAAAAAGAAAGTAATTGGCCAACTAATATATATAGAAAAAATCAGCCTAGCATGGTGGCGCATGCCTGTAGTCCCAGCTACTCGGGAGGCTGAGGCAGCAGGATCGCTTGAGTCCAGGAGTTTGAGGTTGCTGTGAGCTAGGCTGATGCCATGGCACTCACTCTAGCCTGGGCAACAAAGCGAGACTCTGTCTCAGAAAAAAAAAAAATACTGCCTCAAGAAACTCTTGTTTCAGACACTTGTAAGTAAGCGTACCCTGGGTCACAGTGTAAAATTTCATACGTGGTTTGACACCACAGCTCCAGGGGCCCGAGTGATGTCATAGAACAGCGGTTCTAGGCCGGGCGCTGTGGCTGACGCCTGTAATCCTAGCTCTTGGGAGGCCGAGGCGGGCGGATTGCTCAAGGTCAGGAGTTCAAAACCAGCCTGAGCAAGAGCGAGACCCCGTCTCTACTATAAACAGAAAGAAATTAATTGGCCAACTGATATATATATAAAAAAAAAAAAATTAGCCGGGCATAGTGGCGCATGCCTGTAGTCCCAGCTACTCGGGAGGCTGAGACAGAAGGATCACTCGAGCCCAGGAGTTTGAGGTTGCTGTGAGCTAGGCTGACGCCACGGCACTCACTCTAGCCTGGACAACAAAGTGAGACTCTGTCTCAAAAAAAAAAAAAAAAAAACAGCGGTTCTTACACCTGGGTGTACAGAAATCCTCAGGCAAACTTGTTGACGAACTTGTCGACGCCGCACACGCTTGGGCCCCACTGCAGACCTGCTGAATTGGACTCTTGGCAGTGGAGGTCAGAAATCTGTTTCCTTGACACGTTCTCTGGATGGTTCTTCTGTTCTCTGAAGTTTGAAAATACAGTTCCAACCTAAGGAACCCAGAACCAGGTAATAGGAGACAGTGTCTAACCTTTACCTCATGCATCTTGTGACGTATAACGGGAATTGGCCGGTGACTGAGTGATACCAGGACGGTCCCGAAGTCTGGGTGCGTGTCTGGGAAGGGGACTCTCTAGGGGCTTCGAGCCTGTATGTGGACCAAGGAGGAAGGCTTGGCCCTTCGGCTACCAAGAACTCTGACCAGACTCTGGAGAGGGAAGACCCTCGTCCTCCCCAGTGTCCCTCTGGCACACCTGGTTGTGTCACAGGCCAGAGAGTCATGGCCAGCCTCAACTCAGGCCTAAGATTCTGGTTTGTGAAGGGGGCCCTGAAGACTTTGTGGAGGCCACAGGGCTGATCCAGAGGTCAGCACAGGGTTAGGGACAGGCCCCACAGCATCCCCCCCTCGTGTTCCTGCTGTCCTACTCTGTGCTCTGTGTTGCAAGGGAGACTGAGCAAGGCGTGGCTCCTGCCCCATAGGGGCGCGGCTCTGCCCATTCTGGCAGTTGGGAGACACTTCTTGAACATCTCCTCCGAGTCGGGCCTGCTCAGTCACGGTTCCTGTCCTCAGGCTGCGCAGGGTGGAGGCTTCGAGGTTCAGCATCCCTGCCCACAGTCTAGTTAGCAAGGTGGACACTGAACAAGTAATGAGAAGGCGTCCGAGAGTGAGAAGGGCCAGGAGGAAATGCTGAAGCGCGTGAGGAGTAAGAGCACATGCCTGAGTCCTCGGCCCGTCTCCTGCGGGAGGCCACAGGCCTGGAGCACACCCGGGGGCAGAGGCAGGAGAGAGTCAGGTCACGCAGGGCCTTGCCAGGGAGAGGACTTTGAATTTTAAGTCTGACCCCTCACCTGCTGCAAGAGAGGGTTGCAGGGGGTAAGGTGGAAGTGGGAAGCCACGTGGGAAGTTGCCGTGGACGCTATCTGGATGTGTTCCCATCACAGCCAGCAGGCTGCTCTGTCAGGTTGGATATGAGGTGTGACAGAAAGCCATCAGGGATGCCTTGGTGAGTAGGGGGAGGATGAGTCAGGACCATCCCTCTGGAGGCTCACAATTGAGTGTGTGTGGGGGTGGGTGGAGGGACAGACAGCAGCAGAGTGGGACGCTGGTGCCACAGAGCACTGGTGGCTGGCAAGCTCAGAGTAGGGGCATCTCCCAGGCAGGGAAGGCATTCAGGAAGTTGTCTGAGCAGAACTGAGCTATAGGAAGGAAGGTGGGGGTTCTGCAGGAAGAGTATGAAAGGAGCAGCACGAGCGAAGGGCCAGAGGCCTGATGAGGGTTGCTAGGCATTTGCTGCATGCCAGACCCTGTGTTGAACAGCTGCCTCACCTCCCAAATCCACTTGGCAAGCTGGTGACACTGGGACAATTATCATGCCCCTTCACAGATGAAGAAACAGATCTGAGAGGTCAAACAGCGAGCCTGAGAGACACATCTAGGGAGTGTGGGCAGCAGGGGTGTGATAGTATGTGGCTCTGTGTGGTATAACCCAGGCAGTTCAAATTGTAAAGGAAATGTCCTTGCTGGGTACAGTGGTGTGCACCTGTAGTCCCAGCTACTCGGGAGGCTAAGGTGGGAAGATCACATGAGCCTAGGAGTTTGAGTCCAGCCTGGGCAACATAGATCCTGTCTCTAAAAAAAAATTTAAAAAGTTTATTTTAAAAAAGATATCCTGGGCCAGGCGCAGTGGCTCACACCTGTAATCCTAGCACTCTGGGAGGCCGAGGCGGGCAGATTGCTCGAGGTCAGGAGTTCAAAACCAGCCTGAGCAAGAGCGAGACCCTGTCTCTACTATAAATAGAAAGAAATTAATTGGCCAACTAATATATATAGAAAAAATTAGCCAGGCATGGTGGCGCATGCCTGCAGTCCCAGCTACTCGGGAGGCTGAGGCAGGAGGATTGCTTGAGCCCAGGAGTTTGAGGTTGCTGTGAGCTAGGCTGACGCCACGGCACTCACTCTAGCCTGGGCAACAAAGTGAGACTCTGTCTCAAAAAAAAAAAAAAAAAAAAAAAAAACTGGCTTATGGGCCAGGCACAGTGGCTCACACCTATAATCCTAGCACTCTGGGAGGCTGAGGAGGGAGGATTGCTCAAGGTCAGGAGTTTGAGACCAGCCTGAGCAAGAGTGAGACCCTGTCTCTACTAAAAATAGAAAAAAATTAGCTGGACAACTAAACATATATATAAAAAATCGACGGGGATGGTGGCGCATGCCTGCAGTTCCAGCTACTCAGGAGGCTGAGGCAGCAGGATTGCTCAAGCCCAGGAGTTTGAGGTTGCTGTGAGCTAGGCTGATGCCACAGCACTCTAGCCTAGTTGACAGAGTGAGACTCTGTCTCAAAAAATAGAAAAAGATGTCCTGAAACTGGGAGACAGCAGAAGGTTTTTGGGACTGGCTGGGGCATGCAGTGAGAAGAAACAGCAGAGGCTACTGGGAAGGGGGGAGAGTAGGCCAGGGTCAGCCACAAGTGGCCTTGGTAGGTGAGCTGTCGACACAGCGGAGTTGGCAAAGCTAAGCCCACCAGCTATTAATAGATCCCCAGTGTAGCAGCTCTTTCTGGTTCTAATAACTGTGGTGACAGTGGCCAGGGTCTAGCAGCTAAAAAAATATGCAAAGGTCTTGGTCACTAGTTCAGCTGGGTTGGTTGACCTTCTGGGCCTATTTTCAGATATGTAGCCCTTTTCCAACCACAGAGTTTTTTCAGGGTCATAGCATGGCTGCATCCTGGTGTGTGCCTGTAGTCCCAGCTAGTCAGGGGGTTGAGGCAGGAGGATTGCTTGAGCTCAGGAGTTTGAGATCAGCCTGGGCAACATAGCGAGACCCCAACCCTAAAAATTAAAGAGTTCAAAGGGTTCCTAGAGTCAAGCAAAGAGAACAAAGAAAATGAAGGAGACCCCTATGCCACACTTCTGAGATTATATTGACTTTGTATTACCTTGTTAAATTCAGTTTTAGTACCTTTTAAATTTAGTTTTAGTAGCTTTTTTGTAGATTCCTTAGAATTGTCTACATATATGATTGTGTTATCTGTGAATAAAGGCATTTATATTATTTTCCAATCCATATACTTTTTTTTTTTTTTTTTTGAGACAGAGTCTGGCTCTGTTGCCCGTGCTCGAGTGCCATGGCATCAGCCTAGCTCACAGCAACTTCAAACTCCTGGGCTCAAGCAATCCTGTCTGAGCCCTTCTGAGTAGCTGGGACTACAGGCATGTGCCACCATGCCTGGCTAATTTTTTCTCTATATATTTTTAGTTGTCCAGATAATTTCTTTCTCTGTTTTCAGTAGAGATGGGGTCTTGCTCTTGCTCAGGCTGGTCTCGAACTCCTGACCTTGAGCGATACCCCCGCCTCGGCCTCCCAGAGTGCTAGGATTATAGGCATTGAGCCACCACGCCCGGCCCAATCCATATACTTTTTATTTCTTTCCCTTGCCTTATTGCACTTACTAGGTCCTCTAGTACAACACTGAGTGGAAACAGTGAAAACATAATTGCTTTGTTCCCTATCTTAGAAGGACAAATTCAGTCTTTCCCATTAAGTATGAGGGTTTTTTGTAGATTTTTCACAGATGCTCTATATCAGGTTGAAAGTACCCTTCCGTGGTAGGCAGAATAATGTTGCTCCCAAAGACGTCCAGGTCCCAATCCCCAGAACCTGTGAATATGTTACTTTATAATGCAAAACAAGTTTGCAGATGCGATTAAGGATTTTGAGATAGGGAGATTATGTGGATTATCCAGATGGCAGGAGGGTCAGAGTTAGGGGGAGATGCTACTGGCTTTGACGATTGAGGAATGGGCCACAAGCCAAGGGGTGCAGATGGCTTCTCGAAACTGGAAAAGGCAAGGGACTGGGTTCTCTGCTAGAGCCTGCAGAAGGAACACAGCCCTGCTGTTACCCTGATTTTAGTCCAGTGAAACCCATTTCAGACTTCTAACCTCCAGAACTGTAAAATAATTATGTTAAACCTCTAAATTTATGGTAATTTGTTACAGCAGCTGGAAACTAATATACATTCTATTAATAGTTTTCTGTTGTTCTTTAATCATGATGGAGGCCAGGTGCGGTGGCTCACACCTGTAATTCTAGCATTTGGGGAGGCTGAGGTAGGAAGATCCCTTGAGGCCAGGAGTTTGAGACCAGCCTGAGCAAAATGAGACCCTGATTCTACCTGCCCCCCCCCCCAAAAAAAAAATCCAAAAATTAACCAGGCATGGTAGCTTGTGCCTGTAGTCCCAGTTATTTGGGAGGCTGAAGCAAGAGGATCTCTTGAGCCCAGGAGTTTGAGGTTATAGTGAGCTCTGATGATACCACCAAACTCTAGCCCAGGCAACAGCAAGACCCTGTCTCAAAAAAAAAAAAAAAAAAAAAAAGTAAGAATTGATATCTCCTTGCTTTGACTTCCATGCAGTTTTGGTAATTTGTATCTTTTAAGGAATGTGTCAATTTCATCCACATTGCAGAATTTACTAGCACAATTCATACAAAGTACATAGTAAGCACTCAATAAATGAAAGCTACAGATAGCTTTAAATCATGTAGATGATAATAACAATAGATTATTACTATTATTTCACTCAGCATCCTCTTCCCATTTGGCTTTGATCAAGTGTTAGCTTAAGAAATGAATCTAACTTTACAATTTATAAAGGCTCTCATGCATCCTTATCTGCTGAAAACTGCTATTGAAGGCCTGTGTATTATATCATTTTGCATGTTGTCTTTTTTTTCTATTCATTTTTCAACATGTGCTTTTCTCTTTTAGCCAGTTTTTCTTTTCTTTTTTTTGAGACAGAGTCTCATGGTCACCCCCATGCTGGAGTGCAGTGACATAATCATAACTCACTGCTGCCTCGAACTCCTGGCCCCCTATCTCAGCCATCCAAGTACTGGGACTATAGCCACTTAACACCACACACTGCTACTTTGTATTTTATTGCATTCTGTAATCCATTTAATCTACTAGTGCACAAATGGGCTGTTTGCAGTTTTGGCTTCTATAAACTGTGCTGCTGTGAATATTCATGTCTGTTTCTAAGGTAACATGCTGAGGATGAAACTGTCAGGTTGTAAGGTAAGTGCATGTTCAACTCAGCTAGTTTATGCCAAACTGTTTCCACAGTGGCTTGTACTTATTTCTTTTTCTACCAGGGGGGTGAGAGGTCCTATTTCTCCACCTCCTCATGGACATCTACTTGATAACTTTTCACATTCTAACACTTCTGCCACCTGAGTCTTTGTAAGAACAGCCAACACTTGACAATGTGCCAGACCCTATACTGAGGGCATTGTGTGCATGACCTGACTTCATCCTCACAAGAGCCCCATCTATTATGAATGTGTTATTTATGGCCAAGGCAGCAAGTCTTTGTCCTGCCCCTGCCCAAGACACTTCCCTTTTACCTGGGCCGTGTGGCCATGTCTCTCTTCCTCCTTCCCTTAAGCTGGGTTGGGCTGGATCCCAACCGGGCCTTAGTGCCACTCTTGGACCCCCTTCCTCCTCAGGCTGTTATTCGCTGTCCGTCCGACTCAGCCGCCCCGCATCCTGGGACCGGATCAGACACTACAGGATCCAGCGTCTCGACAATGGCTGGCTGTACATTTCACCTCGCCTCACCTTCCCCTCCCTGCAAGCTCTGGTGGACCATTACTCTGGTATGGTCTTCCCTTGCCTCCATGAGAGTAGACTGGGATGAGGGGTCTGGAACAGACAGTTGTGCCCTTAGACATTTTACCTGCTAGAGAATATCCAGACAGGAGGGCCTCCCCTATCTTCATGCCAGTCCCTGTGCCAAGAAATCAGGTGGGTAGCCCTGTCTTCATCCCATGCCCTGACAGAAAAGCCAAAGCCACAGACCTGTGTGAGCTCAGGGCAGTATACCTTGCCCACCAGACCAGTCCGGTATAGTTCTGATTCAGAGTTCCAGACGTAGGCAGAGTTGGCTCCCCGGGAACTAGGCCCAGAGCTGCTGTGTGGAATTCCGTTCTGATTCTTAGCATTTCCTGGTGCCTGTACTTTAACAGGTGCTGGAAGATGAAGTCACTAGGGCACAATGTCAGGAGGGCAGAGAGGGAAGACCTCCTGGGAAAACTAACTAATGAGAGGTTTTCTGCAGGGCCATTCCCTGCAGAAGTAAATACTGAGTGTTACAAGTACAGACTGAGCATTCCTTAGCTTTCTCCTTCCCAAAGCACTTTCATAACCAGAAACCAGGGCTCAAAGAGGTGCATTAACTTACCTGAAACTTCACAGTGAATTAAGTCTCCCCAAACTCAGCCCAGAATGACCTTTGACTGCCTCTCAGCCTCCATGAAACTAACATCTTGGGTCTCATGTCCTATCACTCTTTGGTGACCACTCCCCCCACCTGCCAAGTGTGGAAAGCTGTCAGGGCGGGGATTGTTGGGGAGAAGCAGGGCTGGAGTCAGCCATGTGAGGGTCTAGGTCTCTTCCTCAGAGTTGGCTGATGACATCTGCTGCCTCCTCAAGGAGCCCTGTGTCCTACAGAGGGCTGGCCCACTCCCTGGCAAGGACATACCCCTACCTGTGACTGTGCAGACAACACCACTCAACTGGAAAGAGCTGGACAGGTAAGGAGACTCCTGGAAACACTGAGGTGGAACCAACAGTAAGGACTCACCCCTAGGAACCCACAACCCAGAATGGGCCTGGCCTGCTCAGGGACGCCTAGGAGCGAGAGAACACTAACCAAACACCTAGCCCAGCTCAGGTTCAGCAGGTGCTGGGGGGAGGGTTGATCTGAAAAACCTGTTGAATTTTTCAGCAGGAACAACTTGGAGATAGGTTTTGAGAATTGCGCACTGTGGGAAGCACAGGGAGGAAGAGGCTCCTTGACCCAGATCTGTTCCCCTGTCCACAGCTCCTTCCTGTTTTCTGAAGCATCTGCCACAGGGGAGGCATCTCTTCTCAGTGAGGGTCTTCGGGAATCCCTCAGCTCCTACATCAGCCTGACCGAGGATATGTCTTTGGACGATGTCAAGGCCCAAAGCACAGGCCGAAAGGGAAACCAAAGCTGCAGCACCTGGAATCCCAACTCAACTCAACCCAACTGAGCATCCCAGAGACAAGGCTGTGCAGAGAGAGGGAGGACTGGGACACACAGGTGCATCCAGTGTCCCACCTATACCCTCTGCTCTTTCCTCTCTTGGCCCTAAGAACTCACTTATCTCCTTCCAGGGCCATGACCCCACCTGCAACCTCTAGTCTGAGTGCAGTTTTGAGAGCAGGACCAGGGCTCCAGAAAGACTAAACTTCCTCTGGGGTCTAACCTGGTCAGTCTCTGAGTTTGGGGCTCCCAGCACTGTCTTCATCCCCGGCCTATTGAGTCCCATTCTACATCCTCCCCCGTTTACCAGCCCCACCCACAGGTGGAGACAACTCCTAGTATCAAGGAGGAAAAAATCATTTTAAGAAACTTTACAAGTCTCACCACAACCTAGAAGGTAGGGCTGTGGCATAGAAGGAAAGCAGAGGGGACAGATAGCTTACCACAACAGCAGATCCTGGGTTGTCCAACCTCCACCTGACCCCCAGAGCAAAGAGAAGGACCTCTGATAGTCCAGGTCTTCAAATGTCCCCCATCAAGCCCCTTCTCTGGACAGCCACAACTCTGAGATCTCTTTCATATTGTGGCTCATATCATTCAAACCTGGGCAAGCTTTCCCAGGCATGTTGACCTTGCCACCTTGTGGGCAAATGCAAAATGACACCCTCTAAGCCTGGCACACTGCAGTGAGGCCAGTCACCTTTCTCAGTGGCAGCCAGGGGGACCAGAAGGTAGTAAGCCTCTCCACAATACCAGGGCCACAGCCTACACCGACTCCAACCCTTGAATTCCCCGCTGCCCATAAGGAGAAAGAGGGCTAGCTGGAGCTGCTAAGGGAGAGGCAGAGGAAGAGCAAGCACCTGTAGTGCTCCCATTGGGTTCTCAAGCTACAGGTGGGGTGGGAAAGGTTTTACCAGGTACCGTCAACAGGTTCTCAATTAAAGATCTGATTTATTCAAGTATCTGAAAACATTCTACAATGGAAACTATTAGGTGCTGCTTGTACTGTGCTATGGACCATGCACATACGGCCATACTGTTTCAGAAGACTTGAAATGCCACTGATAGTTTAAAAACTGTACACTTGGGCCAGGCGCAGTGGCTCATGCCTGTAATCCTAGCACTCTGGGAGGCCCAGGCGGGAGGATCGCTCAAGGTCAGGAGTTTGAGACCAGCCTGAGCAAGAGTGAGACCCCGCCTCTACTAAAAATAGAAAGAAATTAACCAGACAACTAAACATATATAGAAAAAATTAGCCAGGCATGGTTGCACATGCCTCAGCTACTCAGGAGGCTGAGGCAGCAGGATTGCTTGAGCCCAGGAGTCTGAGGTTGCTGTGAGCGAGGCTGACGCCATGGCACTCTAGCTTGGGCAACAGAGACTCTGTCTCAAAAACAAACAAACAAACAAAAAAAAACTATACACTTGATGGAGAATCGAGGAAGACAATTTAATGTTTCATCCAAATCCAGAGGTGCATCAAATTAAATGACAGCTCCACTTGGCGAATGGCTGTTACATGATGGCATCCAAGAAGAAATGGTGGGTGATGGACAAATTCAAAAATGCTTCCCCCAAAGGTGATGGTTCTTTAAAAAGTTTCAGGTCACAATCCTTGCAGAAACACTGGTGCCCAGCACACTAATTCACGGTCCAGGAAACACGGGTCTTTCAGGTTTCAAGGGGCTGGGGTGCCCCAACAATCATGCTTCTGTGCTGCAATTAAGAGGGTCCTTTGGACTGGACAAGGAGCAAGTGGGAACTGTACACCATCAGTCATAGTGGATGGCAGTGTAAAAGATGATCCAAATGACCTAGTGAGGAGACAAGCAATGTTCATAGGTCACCTGGGTCAACATAGGCCCCAATTCCAGTAAACAAAATGATGCCAGATGAGAATGTGTACCCAGGGTGCTCGCTGGGGCCTATCCAATGCACAATCTGCTTGGGGGCCTACATATTTTGCTGAAATAAAGCTGTCTCCAGAGCCCAGGATCAACCACCTGTGTTCCTAAAGAGAGCCCCTTACAAGCCCCTCCTCCCACCAAACAGCAACCCTAGCCCCAGAGGGTATAGATATAGGGATGATACACACAAAGCATTCTGTACTGCTAGCAGCTGTTAGGATCACAAATGTGAAAACACCATTACACCTTGTCAGCTCTATATCAAAGCAGAGATTATCAAACTTGGCTACCAACTACTATTCCTGAGATCTTTATATACACACACACATATACAGATAGATGGATGCCCAGCACATCTCAAAAGATCTTTATTTTATGGGTTTTTTTTTTTTTTTTTTGAGACAGAGGCTCACTCTGTTGCCCAGGCATCAGCTTAACTCATAGCAACCTCAAACCCCTGGGCTCAAGTGATCTCTTGCCTCAGGCTCCTGAGTAGCTGGGACTACAGGCACGTGCTACCACACCTGGCTAATTTTTCTATTTTAAGTAGAAATGGGGCCTCGCTCTTGCTCAGGCTGGTCTTGAATTCCTAACCTCAAGCCATCTTCCTGCCTTGGCTTCCCAGAATGCTGGGAGTACAGGCATGACCCACTGTGCCTGGCCTATTTTACAGGTTTGGGCTAGGCTCTGGCCATATAGGGTCATGAGTTTAACTTTTTTAAAAAACCAAAAACCAATTTTGAAATGTAATTCATATTTTATAAAGTTTTCCTTTTTAAAACTTTAGAGATGGAGTCTCACTACATTGCTCAGGCTGGTCTCAAACTCCTGGGTTCAAGCAGTCCTCCCATCTCAGCCTCCTAAGTAGCTGGGATTACAGGTATGTGCCACTTCACCCTTTTTAAAGTGTACAATTCAGAGATCTTCCATATGTTCAGAGTTGTGTTAACATCACCACTGATTCGAAAACATTACTCCAAAAGAAAGCCTATTTCCTTTATCACTTACTTCCTATTTCCCCCTCTGCCCAGCCACTGGCAACCACTCATCTACTTTTTGTCTGTATGGATCTGCCTATTGTGGACATTTTACATATGGGATCATAAGATATGTGGCCTTTGGATTCTTCCACTTAGCATAGGTTTTCAAGGTTCATCTATGTTGCAGCATGTATCAGTACTTCCTTTTTATGGCCAAATAACATTCTACTGCATGGATATATAATATTCATCAGGTGGATGGCCATTTCGGTTTGTCCTTTTTAGCTATTATGAATAATGCTATAAATGTATTTTTAAATGTTACCCAGTTCCTATTATGTAGCCAGGGTTAAGAATCAGATGTAGAAGCTGACAATGGGCCCTGGATTTACCCATTATGGGGAGATTATACAGTATATTATACATCTTTTGGGACAACATGGCTCAAAAGAGGTCATGCCTTTTGAAAAATGGCACCCTAATCACATTTTGACGCAATCAGTGGGCTCCCCTCAAGTGATTGACACCTCATGAAATGAATAGTGCCTACTGTGAAACTATCAGCTACACATACCATGAACAAGGCAAAAGAGGTCATAAACCCCTCTTTTGTGAGCTCCCATGTGCCGCCATATTCTTCTTCATCAATCTGTAGGTAGTTGCTGAAGTAGAGGTACAGGACTCCTGCGTTGATTAGGCAGAATCTGGAGTGAGGAGGACAAGCACCAAACACAAACTATAAGCTTAGAAGACTCAACTCCCACAATCACTGTTCCACTCTATTAGGGCACTCACTGTGCTCCACAGTTAACTAACTGCGTATGTGTCTGCCCCACCAAGTAGGGGGTGACCTGAAGAGGCAGAAGTTACTTGGGTTCAAACAAGAGGGGTTTTCTTCCCCCAAATATAAGTTTGTTCAGACATAGGTTGTAAGACCTTGTACAAGTCTCTTGAGATGGGTTTCAGTTCCCTCATCTGTAAGATGGGGAGGCTGAAGGGTATTACGGGGTAAGTGAAATACTACACAAAAATGCTTAGGCCCTCAATGGAACTGCCCACTTAGCTGAGCTAGAGGACTAAGATCAGCGATGGGAGTGGAATTGAAGCCAGCCATCTGTGAGCACCCCTGGGAAGGTCTCTGACCCCCACAATGTATTTAGCTGATGCAAGACTTGGAATGCAGCGAGCAGGAACATATCACCCTGCTTGCCTGATCTCTTGTTTTCAGTGTGATCAAGACTTTCTTTGTCACCTTTCCAGTTGTTGCATCTAACCTACCAGGGGGACTGTGTGTCTCAGGCCACATCCCTTCTGAAGGCTCCCAATGCGTGAAGTGTGGGCTGGTGCAGTGGTGTGAGTACAAATTGGCACTCGAGAGGATGGGGGAGACCCCGAGGCTGCCTGAGCAAGGTGGGGATGGGGTGGGGAGTGCATCCTTCAGAAGTCTAGTTCATGAGTAGTGAGACCATGGGCTTTCTCAACATGTGGGGGAAATGGGCTGGGAGACCGGTTTAGACCTGTACTCATGTTTTAGGACAAGGACCAGGAAAGTAGCTGAATGGTGGGAGAGGGGGTAAGAACCCCCAAAGTCTTCAAACCTAAGGGCCTGGTAATATAATGGTTGTAGAACAGAAGCAGGAAGTACGCAATACAGTCCTTAGCTTGGCCATGTTGTGGCCACATCCTTATCTTCTGCCAGAAATCTTACGACCCAGCCAAATCTGGCTACCTCCCTCTGAGAGAAGTTTCATTTTGGACAGGCAGATGGCTCTAGATGGAGGCTACTGATGGAAGCAGGAAATGTCACTCTGAGGATCAAATGATGAGCTAGGGATGGAGGGTGACTGGAGACTTAGGGGAGCGTGGAAGATAGGGAGAGAAAAGGGCTGACACAGGCTCTGCTTTCCAGGGCTTACACACTAAGCAGGAAGTAAAGTCACAGAAACAAGAGTGTTAAGTCCAATATTTGGTGGTCAAGGGGGAAGGGCCAGGAAAGAACTTGAAGTGTTTAAACTGAGGTTTAAGGAAGGGCATGGTTTACATTTTGTAAATAAGCAAGAGTTAAAAGCAAATGTGTAGACAAATTAATACTCCTGGGCTCAAGTGATCCTCCTGCCTCAGCCTCCTGAGTAGCTAGGACTACAGGCATGCGCCACCATGCCCGGCTAATTTTTTCTATATATTTTTAATTGGCCAATTAATTTCTTTCTATTTTTAGTAGAGACGGGGGTCTCCCTCTTGCTCAGGCTGGTCTCGAACTCCTGACGTCGAGCAATCCGCCTGTCTCGTCCTCCCAAGTGCTAGGATTACAGGCGTGAGCCACCATGCCCGGCCTTGATTATGGTTTTAACCACTTTGGTACGGCGCTCACCTGCCGAGAAACCTTGCCCACAGCTGGCACTCATAGTCCGCACGATAGTTTGTGCTGTGCATTGACGACAAATCCATTTTGCTCTTGTGTGATGAGGAAAGCTTTAAAGCACTGAAAGCTTGTTTTACTTTATAGGCAGCTTTACTTATAATGTAAATCAGAATAGGTAACATATACATATATGTTTTCATTACGTTATTTTAAATGTTCACAATTTTATTTTGATAAATGAAAACTTAGAAAAGTCATATCATGGCTGTCGGCTAAAGTCGCTGTGCACATTCATCTGTGGCTACTGACTATAGTCGACGCTCGTACCGAAGTGGTTAAAAAAACTTTAACACACATTCACTGAGCACCTACTAATCATGTTCCAAGCTCTATGAGAGGGACCAAGAGGCAGGAGGGGATGGACACTGTCCCTCCCTGATAATGGAAAACCTCAGCAGACAGCAGGACCCATCACTCAGATCTCAGGCAAATTATAAATAACGAGACCCGAGGAAATGGTTTTACCTTAACAGGCCCTAACTGGTAACCACAACAGAAAGAAATGAGGGGAAGCAAGTTGGGGTTGAGACATAGGGCGGTTAAGGAGAGAAGAAGTCACCAGAAATGAGCACTAGAGCAGTCCTGCCCTAAGCCCAAGCAGCTGGGTCCGACAGATGGAGAGGGGACATGTGTGGAAAAATCAATGTCCTTGG